TAACTGTTATTTTCAATCCATAGATGAATGTTCTCTAATGTAAGGTCATCAGCTAAGTAGATTGTGCTATAATAGATGACATTGAGTATAAATGTTCAACGCTCAAGAGTGAGATCACGGCTAATTACTTCACAACTCCTACTATCATAGGATTCACAATCAAAAGAACGGATAGTTATAAATATATTAAGAAACCACCCACTTTCCTGGGTCTATTCCTATCACTTCTTAGGTAGTTGCGTTCGGATAATTCTAGAGTGACGTCGACGTCATGGACTAACGACGTCTCGGTCCCAGCTACGATCAGTGACTCTAATTCATCCACTAATGCTCCAAGTGCATAGAATTTATTTCTAAGGCTATGAGCATTTGTATATAGAACTCTTGAACAGAAGGACCCATCCATACAGGCCTTGATAAAATTCACTTCCAAGACGTGACTACTCGGGAACGCAATAGACGTAGCTTTTCTCCACCATTCTAACAATGAGTTTCTAGTCCATCTAGTGTCGCTCTCCTTTTAATTCTCTCTTCTACAGCTATATCGGGTCTCAACCAAATGTCGGTATTGTCGTGACTACGAGAGATTGATTCTTCATCCCTAGGATTACCTTATGGAGTCTATACTGTCGTTGTTAAACATTTCTGTCTGTTCTCTTACCTATTCTAATCAATTTTTCGACCCGAACTTTTGCAGAGCTATCTGGTAAAGTGCTACGAATAAGTGATCCAGCCTTTCCCAAATCGTGAGACTGTTTATTTCTTAGACCATGGTCGTTTGATTCAAGCAAATTAACTACTACGTGAACATGGCTTCCATGTACAAAAACGACCACAACTGCTTCCAATTACATACATCTGGTACTTCTCAGGCTCACACTAATGCAAATATCTATAACTCCAGCTACGAGCTTGACAGTCTACGCTAATCTATAAATACCCGTGCACTTCACAGTCAGCCTGTACGAGATTATTTTGAGAAACGGCCGGTGATGGCACGTCTGTTGAAGCATCTAGAGCCAGTTATCTTAGGTCACATGTGAGATGTAAACTCGCTTATCCCGTAAAACTGTACTCAGACACTGTCCTCACACGTTCATCCTCATTAAAGACTTCAAGCAGATTAATCAGCTCATTTGGTATTTTCTACTCTAACTCTTGTTATCAACAAAATGAGCAATCAGTTAAAAACTAATCCACTGCTTTAAATTCATCACTAGTGCTACCACTTAGCTGCAATAGCTTCATAACTGACCCCTCTGCCTAATCCTCAGATACATCATTCAATTACTTGCATTACCATACGTCGCACATTCATGTAAATCTTCGGAATGAATCACCCTAGCCCTCTACAGTGATCATCTTATTTCTTTACTGAGGATCATTTATTAGTTATAAAGAACCTTCTCCGAATCTCAATTATATAAACATTGAACGAAATGACTCCTCGCTCACAAGGTTTTCTGGTGATTTATCGTAACCCAATATCTCTCTACAGGTTTTTATCATTTTACTTTATTCACTCCTTCCTCTGCAGTAAGATGACTAATCTTAGATCTTCAGCATACCTAGTTAATCAATGTTTCATTCTAATTCCTGGAACCCGGTGCACACCTGATATTTCTGGTTCGGCGCTATGTACAGTCATTTACAATGTATACCGCAAACATCGAAGTTTGGGTAGAGATGGAGGCTGGTTAATATATGTGCGACCTGATATTCCATAGACTACAATCTTCTCAGAGAGTACTGAACTGTTAGATGGTTCTATATTCATCAATGTGTATAATTGTGTTCATCAGCACTTTATAACCAATCATATCTATTGGCCCCCCCCAGTGCCGTTCATACAGTGTGTACATATTTATGTCGGATATTTGTTGAAATTTGGTCTACTTCGTTATTAGTATTGCTCTAATAATAGACGTAATCCTGAAATTATAGATTTGTCGTGATGTAACTGCTTGATCTATAAGATCTTACGTGGAAGCCACATCATTGTTTACACTGACTCATCGTATTGTAATAATCGTCAATATATGACGGAGAACACATTTAGGCTGTAGACAGAAAAATATATTTAATATGGATAAAAGTGATAAGTTACACGCAAATGACCGCGCATGCAGAGCTGATCCATGCCATCCGATTGAACTGAATTTCGAATGCATGTTCCCGCGTTCATCATTATTGGCCTTCTCTTAGTGTTACACGTTTAAAGTTTATTTTCCCAGTTATCTCATGTTCAGCCCTGGGGATTGTGGTTAGGATCCAATGCCATTACATATTCACACCCTGATCATCATCATCATCCATAACTAGGTTAGTTGGTGCTGATTTCAATATGCCGTCTGTTAGATGGGATCCATTGCATGATCCTTATCATCTCGAGAAGTTCTTTGAAAAACTAACAACAAATATTCGAACACATAATCAGTAAGCTCTCTAGAAAAGTTAGCCTATTGTACTTGACTTCCGTACACAATGCCTCAACACATACTGAATATACTAGTCTTGACTTTCCACACAGAGGAAACGAAGTTGTATCCTGTCGACTCATTGCGTGAAAGCGCTCTTGCACTTTTACTGGAACAAACGTTCTCATAGATTCTATCAGAAACTTTGCAAGCACAAACTGATCCCACCTCAAAATTCTACTACGTAGTCGTAGTTGGGGTATGGTCTTGTAGTGGCATAGGGCCCTAATCACACAATTCTCAAGGCCGAACACGAGACAATTGGGAAAGTAGATATTTGACGTTTGACATGGGGAAAAACCCAACGATAGGGAGGCGGAAACAATGAATTGAGTCAATTCAAGTTGATCGGATGTTATGGCTCAACTTTGCAGGCGTGGTCCCTGTTGAACGTTACTTTATATTTTTTATTCATATTAAATATATTGTTCTATCTCTAGACTAAGCTTGTTCTCCATCATATATTGATGATTGTTACGACATAAGATCTTATAGACTAAGCAGTTACATCATGGCAAATCTAGAATTTTAGGATTAAGTCTATTATTAGAGCAGTAATAATGTGTGGTAGACCATGATTCTACAAGTTTGTACTTGATACTGATCCTAGCTCATCAGCTATTGGAGCTGTTCTGTCTCAAACAACACAAGATGAACAGGAGCGAATAAGAGAGAAACAAGATATTCTACGACACTCCGAGTGATGCTGGCTTTGGTAAATGTTTCACAACATTTTCGTCACTAGCTTCCAGGACTCCCTTTCATGTACGCACAGACCGTCAAGCACTACAGTGGCTTCGTTCATTTCGCGGTCCTTAGCACAGCCCCTGAGATCGACTGGTCGTCTCTGCAATCAGCAGACCTAGATCTGCGACTCATTCACCAAAGACAACTGCATGAAAATAATGGGCCATCTATGGTAGAGTTAAAGAATTATTCCTTAGTGACGCTCAGTGTTTGTGCCAAGTGGAGTAGTCTGAGATTGTATAGAGACATGTTATTTTTAGTCAGTGGGTCAAAACAGCCCCTATTGGCAGTACCACGTGCACAAGTTCAGAATATCATGAAGCAGATGCATCGAGAACTCGGTCACTTAGGAAAATAAAAGACTGAACATGCTATTTGCCAGAGATTTTGTTGGCCATCCATGCACGAAGACACAACAGAATTGTAGCACGTTTTATGCCATCAGGTCACCTCAGCAAATACTCCGTGCACCAGAGAGTTTGCATCGATATTATGAGGCCACTTACTACGTCGAAGAAAGGAAACCACTATATACTGGTGAACTATTTTAATAAATGGCGTGAAGCCATTCCTATTCCACAACAAGATGCCCTCAAAGTCGCATGAGCTTTTACGCTACGGCCCTTCATTCTCATCCCATTCTGAACAAGGCGCAGCTTTCGAAAGCCACATCATCGCTCATGTATGGTAGATATTGTGAATCCGAAAAACACACACTACCGCGTACCATTCAGAAGATAATGGTTCAGTGGAAAGAACGAACAGAACCTTCAAAGACCTTTTACAATCGTTCATCAATAAGTGGTCGACTGAATTTTGGAATGATGCATGCAGCAAGTTCCACCAACCTTGGCAAGGGCCATACGAAATTGTGCTTATTCGATTTCCTACTACCTTTGCCTTACGTAACTTTCGGCTTCTCCAAGATGACGTTATAACAGTACACCACAATCAGTTGAAACCAGACCGGACAACGATGCATCTGGATACCAAGTTTGCCAACCCCTCGACTACCGTCGGCCATTATGAAGTGCCATCAGAAGGAGGCGTGACATACCTATGTCCACAATCAGGTAATGAGTACAGGCGTCTTGGAGGCTACTTTATAACAACTTACAGCATCCTTAACACTTCTGGACATTCACTTCAATACCTACTTAAGTCCTAACAAAAACCTGAGGGGTAATACCCAGAAACTAGAGACATAACTCAGCAGAACGAATTGCAGACACACCTTCAAATGCTTGAATTCTCTGCCGGCTGAGCTAGTTCGAGAGACTTTCCAGGAGTCCTGTGAGAGAAAGCTTGACATACTCTTAAACACTATGGGTAGTATCCGATTATGATTTACCTTTTTTCTTCTTTTATCATTAATATACCTAGCTTCCTGCCTGAAGGTGTCGGTGATCCACTGCTACCAGACGCAGATGCCTGTTAAGCGAAAGCTTCTTTTATTCCTTCCACCACCATTTGAACCATTTGAACAGTTGTGTTGTTGTTTCAGAACTCTCCCGCACCCAAGTAAACTCTAGTGCTACAGTTCAAGGTCGTTATCACGCAATCTTGCAAATCCGTGCTTCTGCATTGTTGGCTATTTTCGGTAAGTGTCGTTATTTAGCGTGCATGCATCTGATGTTTTTAGTCAGTGATCGAGTTACGTTTCCGTCTGTTTTTCCAGATTTTTATTAGCTGAGTGTGCTGCTAAAATCTTAACACATCCAAAATCAACGTAGTCGTAGAATAAATATCAACCTGTTAACAGTTTTGGATTAAAACATGATAAAAGAACTGAGTGCTGCTGATGAGGAGTCTGAGCCTCTGTCAATCGAGAGCTTGTGCACTAGATGCTTACAGAACGTAAGTGTTTTTTGGATATATATATATATATATATGACGGTAAAGTTACGATTGTCACTAATAAAAATTAAGATGAATAATACTTCGAATTATTGTCTGTTCTCATTTTCGCGGAAATGTTTTAATCACTTCTTAAGAGCATGGTTACAACCAATAATCATAAATGGCTTAGTGTTAATTCATGTTCAGTCAGTCTAATTCTTTCCTACAATAATTTTCCTAATGTTGGTAATCAGCAGAATATTCAGATCAAACAGTAGTATACTTTTGCTTAGTATTTAAATATTATTCAGTTCATTATTATGTTTTCAATCGCGGTGTGCACATGAAGGGTAAGTATTTTCTAAATGCCATCAACTGTTGCACAGACGCCAAGAAAACAGTTCCTAAATGTTCTTACTTAAGCACAGATTTAATAAAACTATGGGATAAAAAATAGTCGACTCAAATGACAGTAATAAAGGTGTCGAATAAATTTTGTAGAAGTCAAACGAAACAAGGTAATACTAATCAGTATAAATTCCAAATGAAAGATCATTGTAAACTATCACAAATAAAATCATAAAACCCTTTGTGGTGTAATATGTGGTTATGGGCTTTTATAAAACTTCAGTCGATCATCTAAAATCATTTTTATTCAATTAATAAGTGTTAGCGAAACATGCACAAATCTGGTGTAGATTCAGATCACTTTCAGATTTTTGTTGTGAGGAAAGAGCCGTGAGACTGTTAGTCCTTTTCATGTAAGCTTTGATGCGACTAATCTTTTAAATGGGTCAATCGGATGTGTGGACATAATTTCTTATATACGGCTACAGAATAGTCGGCCTCTGGAGCCATGATAAAGTCTCAAAAACTATTTCAGCCTTGACCACATAGATTCAACATTGTTTATGTGCACTTCGATTGTTGAGTACACAAAATCTACTTCGGTCACTTATTTACTCTAAAGAAGTGGCTTACATTAAGTAGTGAAACGTCAGAAATACAATTTTCTACTTATTTGGATATAACAAAAATATATTTATTATTAACTCATCAGGTGTTAGGATTTTCAAAAATCTGAACGTTTAAATCTAAAGTAAATATATAGCATTCTGAGATCAACTAATCTATAAAATATTGATATGAACCACCTTTACAGATCTTACAAGTTGCTGTCTCAATTAGTTGTTAGATTGCATTACCAGCTCGCACGTTCTCTTGTAGCCAAATATAAGTAGATTTTAGACCGTAACATATGCTACTCAATCTTCTCCCTAAATTATGTTGACTAACTGCACTCGATTCCAAAATCAGGTGTTTTATTGAAGTTTATGTATATACTGCCATTAACTGGATAGTACTTGATATTTACTCAAATTCGAGATCACATGTCATCATTTATTGTGTAGGAAATATACTTCATTGCCATTGAATTCATTAATGTAATTATTTGTCTATTTCACCGTTTACAGTCAACCTTACAATCTTTTACTTTGGTGATTTTAGGGCACAACGCTTCTTATGATAACAAAAATTTCATATTTCAAAGAGGTTGTCGTCTCATCCTTCAGTTGTCCTCACTGTGGTTATGAGAATCGGTCTCTTATTCCAGCTTCACAAGTTCAAGATAAGGGACAACGCATAACATTCAAAGCTAACAATGTGAAAGATGTGAACAGACGTGTTGTTATACCAGTAGGCTCAACAGTGAGTATTCCTGAATATGATTCCTCATTTCCTTTTTCTGATGGAGGTTAGTCTTACCACTATTCTTACCTACATTTTAATACTTTTACATGTATGCTTATGTTGTTATTTTGTTCGTAGCTTTTTAAAAAACAGTAGTTAGCCGAATAAACTCGTACAGATCAAATTCATTCGTCATTTGGTCGATGATGTGTATTCATCAGTGTGATAATGTTAATTAGGATGAAGCTTAGTAGAACTTGAGTTCATTATTTAGTTGTTGATCTCTTGAGATTTTTATCATATCATCGTTCAATTTCGTTTTCAATATTTTCTACATAAGCTGGTATATTTATCACTCACAAGAATAGTTTATACATAAATCGAATATGTTCTGCAAGCAAAAGACTACTAGATAAATTTAATAGTTAACCTCTCAGATAAAAAATACAACTGTATGACATGCACTCAGAAAACACTTTAAGTTCGTTCATTGGTTTTTAGGTTAACGTTAGTTCAAATAATTGTCGAACATGGACTTAAACCTGGTAAAATTCTTCCTTGCCATGGTACATGCTGCAGAAAACTAGCCGATGTTTAATTCAACCAGTAATCATTTCGTAGTTTTAATTCTAGTTAGTTCGAATAAACTACTGAAAAACAGGGAGATATGAAATGTATCAAATGACCAATATTTTAAACTGTATGGCTCCTACCACAGCTTGTCTTCATAACGATAAAATCTGGGTCATTCACATGGTGCTCATGCATATTTAGTTGGTTGATTGTAAATCGTGATCATGCGATCTTCATCAAGACAGTGTACTCGGGAATAGGCTTTTTTACGTTATATTGACTTATTACTGCTCTGTATTCATCTACACAGCCTCCGCCGTAAGTGAAGAGATTTTGCAAAAGTCAATTGAAACTTCGTCAGACATCAATCCACTTGTAATGATGAAACTTATAAGTGATCGAAACACTCAAATACTTCACTCTATCACTGGTTCAGATATTGACGCAAACCAGTCGTAGGACTAAATTATCTTAGTGTCTTTAGCACATAGGATTGTCATCTGTGTATTCTAAGTCAACAAATAAATCTGGTAGGAGGTCGATTCCTGAAAAGTCAGACTTTAAGATCGTTACCTCTAAATGAATGTCTATGAAAAAATGAAGAAAGCGAATAACTGATAAACCTCGTCTACAATCAACCTATTTGAATTTCCCCAAATGTCCTGGTACGGTCAGGGGTGGGGAGAGTCTGCTCTCGAAATACTGTCACATGGCCACGCGTATACAGCCACCGGCGTAGGTGTTAACCGGGTTAGTGGACACAGAGAGTCCATCTAGGGGAGTTGGAAAACCCTGATTCCAAACCAATGGTGCACATGGGCTCCACGATCCCGAGAAGACAAATGGCGTATGAACCAATCGTTGGTCACCAGCTACCATGGGACTTCATCCCTTAACCTTACTCCACTGCCATGTGGATCAGACCTTTATGTCGAAGGCTCCGAGTGTTGCCCCCTAAGGAAACCGCCTGCTCCGGTCTGGGCACCCAGGTAGTATTGCAACCCACACACAAATCAAATGAGATCTGTGTGGCGCATATGTGTCTGGTGTCCCTTTCTACCAATATTTATGTGTTCAAATAATAATAATAATAATATTAATAATGATTTATGTGAACTAATTCAGAGACCCACTGATCATGATTATTAAGTCGTCAATTTGAATGCTTCTAAAATTCATTGGCAGCCTGATATTTACAGATGTCTAACCTTATTAGTGATTCATATTTTCAGCCATTACTGAAATGCTTATATTTTTATGACCTGCTATTTATTTTTACATATTTCATATAATGTTTTTAGTTGTATCAACAGTTGAAGGAATTATAACAGGATTCATAGATAATCTGAATAGTTTACAACCTGAAAGAAAGGTACGTGTTAAATCAGTTTTAAATACGTTAATAGGAAAGTCAACCTGATTTAGCGTTGAAAATCGAAAAGTTCATCGATCAGTTGCGTACTTTGCTAAAGGTGAACAAGCCATTCTCAATTGTAAGTATAGCAGTTTTCTATTAATTGACATCATTTTAACAGTTTTCAACCCGGTGATATCCTACTTTTCTAAAAAAAACTAGTGATACCATTTATTAATTACATAATAGTGTTACAGAATTGTATATGTAGTGTACCATTACCTTCGTGTACTTCGATTTCATACAGCCAGATATTATCACCAGTCCTCGGGAAAGTGTAACTTGAAATCGTGTATGAAACTTTAGCTTGGTTACTAAGTTGCAGTGAATTAATTAAATAAGTGTGTTTAGTTTTACTGAGCTTCATATGACAGCTAAATAGAACCAGTCACTCCACTGATCAACTACATAGTAGCACTTAGGTTAAAATATAAAGTTAATTATGTGGGTTCGTCAGTTACCTGTCAACGTTTTATTTATTTATTTATTTGAACACATAAATATTGGTAGAAAGGGTAACCAGACACATATGCGCCACACAGATCTCATTTGATTTGTGTGTGGGTTGCAATACTACCTGGGTGCCCAGACCGGAGCAGGCGGTTTCCTTAGGGGGCAACACTCGGAGCCTTCGACATAAAGGTCTGATCCACATGGCAGTGGAGTAAGGTTAAGGGATGAAGTCCCATGGTAGCTGGTGACCAACGATTGGTTCATACGCCATTTGTCTTCTCAGGATCGTGGAGCCCATGTGCACCATTGGTTTGGAATCAGGGTTTTCCAACTCTCCTAGGTGAACTCTCCATGGTAATGGCTGTATACGCGTGGTCATGTGACAGCATTTTGAGAGGGATGGCGGACTTTTCCCGTCCTCGGTCGTTCCAGGTCATTTAGGGGCTCGTCAACGTTTTGCTTGTAAACCAACCTTTGAAGTAGATATTTTCATCGTTTTCAAATTTATTTATTGCAACAGGTTAAATGTATTGCTGAGAGAAATTTAATCTAGAATAAAAGTTCACTTTAGTGTTTGCTGCCGCGCAAGGATTTCACCGTTGTTTCAATTTCTTTATTTGGACCTGCAATGTCTTGTGGACATAAACAAAATGATGTTCTGAAAATCCCGTTGTCACTATACTATCGTTGAATCTATTTGCTTTACTGCCATACTTACGATATACTCATTTCCAGATATCTAAGTAACACATGTAAACACTTTTTTGACGGTTTATGGTGGATTCCAGAATGTGTATTTCTCCCAGATTACATTTAATCCTACTAAATTGATGTCATCGTTAAAATTTGTGCCTAAACTAAACTAAAACCTAGTGTAACTTATATTTCTTAAGTTAATATCATTTATCTGCATTTTTTAATATAATCAACTTGCAATTATTTAGGTTATAGATGATCCATCAGGAAATGGATTCATTGAAAATTACTTAGCTCCAAATGACGACCCGCAAATTGAAATTGAAACATATGTACGCACTCCAGAACAAAATGAATTACTTGGTCTTCAATCTCAACCAGTTGAATCAATGGATAATTTAACTGATCCTAAAACAACCCAAGAAGCAAGTTATTATCTCTGTCAGATTTGTAATATTTTGAATAGTTTTAACATTTTAGTTAATTTATTATTATCATTACTAGTACTACTATCACTACTACTATTATTATTACTAATATTACTACTACTATTATTATCATTTCTACTACTGTTATTATAATTATTATTATTATTACTAGTACTACTATCACTACTATTATTACTATTACTATTATTATTATTACTATTATTATTATCGTTACTATTATTATCATTGTGATTATGATTACTATTACCATTATTACTGTTATTATGGTTACTATTATTATTATTACCATTACTTATTCATTTATTATTATTAATTATTATTATTATAGGAATCAATTAGTGAGACATCAAAAATCGAAAAAGATGAAGTTATGTTATTGAACGTCAACTGTCCATCATGTAATGCTCTTACTGAAAATAAAATGAAAGCTGTTGGTAAGTGGTTTTACAACTTTTATAAATATACAAAAGTAATGAATAAGATCCTGCTTCGGTTTGGGCACCCGGGCAGTATCACAACCCTCACACATATCAAATGAGATCTGTGTGGCGCATATGTATTTGGTGCCTCCTTTTACCAATATCTATGTGTTAAAATAAATAAATAAATGAATGAATAAGATGCAAAAAGAAAGAAAGCCATTTTTTAACCTAAATGGATTGAACTTCTACTAACTACTACTTCTATATCTAGTGTTTTACCTCTTGCTAAGTAACATTATAATCGAACTGAACAATACAATAAAAAGTAAATACTAAAAATGTATTGCTACTATGCAATGTGACATTCATGTTGAAATTGTTTAGATGAAAAACCATCTGTCAATTAAATGTAAAAGGGTTAATAATTTTTTTTGTTAAGTGTTATCTTACAGGTTCATTTAGCATTCTAGTTCCCATTTAGTAATGATGTTATTTTTACCGACCATCAAGCTTAATGATTATACAAATTACAACACTAATGTCATCTTATGGTTTTGAGAACTGCTGTATATATATTCTAATGATTAGTTGAATGATATTTTCTTTTCTTGCTACTAACAAGAGGTCCACCTCATTAGCGCACAACTGCATCATAGTGGACGTTGATGGTCGACCTCCGTCTACTGAAAAGTAACTTTTAGTATCAGTTTACTTTTCAGTTGGCGGTCGTGTGCCATCGAAACACCAACCGTTGCTCTTGTTTAGGGTGAAAGGGATCTTCATCATCTAAATACCAGCAACAGATCAACCAACACCAAGTCTACCCCATGTCAATTATGCCTGTAATTGATCGATTTCTTTCTTATCGGAAATGGGAGATGTAACTTATTAAGATTTCCACAGCAAAATACCTTGTGCATCTTATTACTTTGATGCTATATTTGAAGCGATTACGTAATCACTCTAAACTGGCGGACGGAACGAAAGATCAGCAACACAACGACAGATAAGCTAAATATTTCAATGCGTCCCAGAATTTCCAACTAAAGAGAGATCAGCTTCAAATGGGAAAGGTGTATTCCAAAAGCAGTTAGAAGCACGAACAAACAACCACACAACTCATATATATATATATATATATATATATATATATATATATGCTTTATTAAAAGGTCCTTGGTAAGCGTCACATAAAGCGTATTAAAAGAGGCAACGGATCAATAACATTTAGGGTCGTTACAAATGGGAAATACAATCTGAAGGTGAATGTGAGTGCTTTTGGCATGAAAACTAGAAATTCAAATTTCCAAAATAAAATTACAAAAATAAGACGTTTACCAAGTGATTTCTGAGGATCTAGCATCGCCAACATTTGTCACCTATTCTTATGGGTTGATTTGTCCCATAAAACACTATATATATTGTCATGTTTACTTAATCTGTTGTCTTTACTTAAGATATGAATGAACTTCTAATGACTCTTATCTACTCTCCTCTTACTTGCATTGTGTTGTCATCGTCAAGGTATCATTCTGTCTTAGTCATTTGATTTATCCAAGTACGTTCTATTGGCCCTCGTTTTGAAAGTTTTCCATCATTCCCATGTTGGACCAAAGCAATTACAGATTACAACAGTCGTCAAATCAAAGCGTGACATTACCCCATTTAATCAATAACTGTCGAGCTGGGAAATCTTAGTTAGGATATCTCAAAACTAACTCCAACAACCCACTTACGTTTTTAATCTCCTTGTGTGTCTTCTACACATTGCCGTATACAATTTTTCTTCGTTTAGCCATCTTGGTTCATTATATTTATATCGCATACTTCCAAAGCTTTTCTATCTAGTTGTGTTGTAATCTTAATCAGCCCACTGTTAGTTTGTTACGTTTATTGGAAGCGCACCAGGTGGTTTAGATATTTTTGTTCACTGAAACTATCCGATGAGATAATTGGAGAGATCTTTGACGATTTCAGATTGCTTTTTAACGTCGTGATATCTCTGCTTGTTTGTTTTGATGAGTTGTTTGGATATTTCATTTCACTGTACTGATATTTTGGAGGCTTGACATTTATTTTATTGCATCACGTCTAACTTTACAGATATTCCTCATTTCAAAGAGGTAATACTGATGGCAATCAACTGCCCAGCATGTGGTTTTAGGGATTGTGAAGTTCGATCCGGTGGTGGAATTTCACCAAAAGGCAGACATTACAAACTACGAATTACAAATATATACGATTTATCACGGGATATTTTAGTGTCCGAAACTGCAGCTATTAAACTACCCGATATTGATTTCGAGTCTATCGGCGGTACTCTTGGTGGAAGATTTACAACAATAGAAGGTCTTTTAGTAGCTGTGACCAAACAAGTTAGTTTATGAATGTATTTTTGTAATTTTTCATATATCCTATGGTAATGGATACTAAATGTAACATTAAGTAATAATTAGTTGTCACTAAGTATGGAGTGGTTTTCGTTGTTGCTTAATTTTATTGTTGCAAATCAATGGTCTAGATAGTTGTGGAGTCACACTTGTTCATAATCAGTTTTTTTCCTTCCCACCGTCCTCTCTGTCTCTTCCATTAAGATTTTGAGCGCTCTAACTCTCCCCAGTTTCGTCAATATAGATAACTCGGTAAAGTCACTGATGCGGAGAGCTAATCAGAAGTAGCCTAATAACGTCAATCGATAGTAATTAGAAGTGACCTAAAGGACAAGTGCATTTCATTGGCTAAGAAATGGATCAATTCTTTAAGGATTAGAGTGGTATATATACGAGTATTTTATTCAGTAGCCCAATATACTTTCTCGCTCACTCTTATGTTCTCGTCAGTTAGGGTGTTGGCGCATAGCACACTATGTATTAGTATCAGAATTTTGGACACCGCCCGTCACAACAGTCACCACTCCAAGTAATGTATGTACATTGTTCTTGAAACACCTTCGCAATTTATTTATAAGTATCCACTTAACCTCGTAAAAGTGATTTGTCATATCGCCACTGTCCGGAAATCTAACTATCATTTCCCAAGGGTAATAAATGGATTTATTATTTTATTTTATTTGCACACATAAATACTGGTACAAGAAGGCACCAGATACATATGCGCTACACAAGTCTCATTTGATTTATGTGAGGGCTGTGATACTACCGAGGTGCCCTGATCGAGGCGGGTGGTTTTCTTAGGGGGCCACAACCGGAGTCTTCAACCTAAAGGCCTGATTCACAAGGCAGTGGAGCATCGTAAGGAGATGCAGTTCCATGGTAGCCGGTCACCAGCAATTGGTTCATACGCCCATTTTCATCATTGGTTTGGAATCAGGGTATTCCAACTCCCTTACGCGAACTCTCCGTTCCCACCAACCCGGTTAAAGCGCCGTTCATTCGCTTTTCGTCCTCTCAATTTCGTAAACAACACCTTCGCCACGAGAACGCAGTGAGTAGGACTTCCCTGACAGAGGCTATATGAACGTGGCCATGTGAGCATTTCGAGAGGGAGAGCGGACTCTCCCCACTTTCGGCCGTATCAGGATATTTGGGGGCGTAGTAAATAGAACTATCAATGACATACTTGTCGATCGTTGTCTGTATTCTGAATCGGTCAGTCTGAGAAACTTGGCAGTGCTAATAAATTTCAAATATTTGTCATTGTTTCATGTTATATTATGTTTCATTTTAAGTTACATAATCACAGGTTCTTATTGTAAATAATTAAATTTGAGCTAAATAAATCTCAGAAAACAAATGTAGGTTATTATTCCTGTAAGTTAATAAATTCACTAGGTAAATAACTACTTATATATTTAATTATTACAGTTAGTCAGTACTAATCCTTTTGTTGTTGGGGATAGTAGTACTACTGAAGAGACAAGAGGCAAATTGGGATCAATCATCAATCAAATAAAAGAGGTTAGTTTTATATGTATCCTTCAGTTACATTCAATTATCATAATATGTCACTTTATACTGTAAACTTTTGTATAACATTACATACTGTTTGTGTGCAGTAAACCAATACTATAAACCGTCAGGGTTATAAATTCTTTTTGATTAATCCTTTGAATATCAACATCATATAATTAGCATTGTAATAAGTTGCTTAAAATATGGTCTCCTATACTTCTGCCTGAAGTTTATGCTGATGATGTCATTCAGAAGAACGATGAAAGTTCCACGACCAAACCATCCAGCTCAGAGAACAAAACTCCATCAAGAAGTCTCACATACTATTCACTAAGCATACTTTATGTTAAGGTATTACATTATTGATAAGTCTTTCTAATTGAATGCTTTATTCGATTCCTAAGCTATTCTCTTAACCCCTAAGCTAGAACTACACAGCGACCTGAAAACGAGAGAAAAGGTGCAAAACATGTGGGCAGCACTTTACTCCAAAAGTTCTTGATCATCATTTGATACGTCCGACAAATTTTTCTTATTTTTGTAAGAAATTTGATCAAAAGCATTTGAGTCATATTTGATAAAACAACTAGAAAACTCCAATAAGTAGATTCATCAGGAACTTTTGTTCTGGAATAATGAGCTCCATTTGACGCAGCTGTCTTCATTATGCTGCTTGATTCATTTTCTGTCTCTTCGTGGGCGGGTACTGCAATAATTTCATGAGCATTTAATAAGACGTCGTCTTTCTGTGAGTTGGACAAGTCATTGTTTGTGCATGGTGTTTCGGGGGCAATGGGATTTGAACCCACGACAGGGCATGTCTCTGAAATGGACATTTCTGGATAACTGGGCAGACCATGATTTACTGTTACTTCTTCGTTTACATTACCGCTTATCAAGGATTCACGAAGGCTTTCACCGACACGTCCATACGTTCTGCAGTCATTTTCCAGCTGTTTATGCAAATTAGAAATGAATTTATCAACTTCTATCACATCTCCAAAACATGGATGTTTTAACAGCCGTGTGCGTAAATTGTCTAAAACATTCAACTGACTCTTTTTGAAACGCTGCTGTTGTCGCTCAAATAGCAACTGTAATTGATCGAAAGAGATAGCCATTTTCCGAATCAGCGCGGTAATGAAAAATACTGTATGACTAATTAACAATCAATGTCGTTCAAGAACACCGGCGAGAATTCTATATGCTGATTGTCTTGGCTATGTTTTTTTTTACCCCGTCGCCAATTGTTATAACTTGTTGGTTGAGTGCTACTTGTTATATCTGGTCGTGGCTGATTGTTATGTCGGAAAAACGCCGATCACTTACATTAGAAACGAGGGACCTCTGCAATTCCCACGACACGATAGTAAGAATACAAAGACTGGTATAAGTGAAGATTTATTAGTCCCAAAACACTATGACGACGACAATGACCCTAGTCGAAAGCACACTTATTTATATATTGATTGTACACTCATTATGATTATTAATTAGGATGAAATCACATATATGAGTATAGTTCATAGTCAATGGAATACAAGAATATCGTATATTATACAGAATAAAATATCATACCGGGAAAACAAAACCGAATACTACACTAAATGATCATCACATTGAATCAAAGCGGAAGTGATCTTGAACAAAACTCATAATGAGTAAATCAATCGGACTTTTTCCATCTTCTCACCTTCCTTCTTTTTTTGAAGTCTCAAAGTTTAGATCCTGACTTTATCCTCCCTCACGAAATAATGTTGGGTCCTCATATTCCCATTTATTATTTACTTATTTTAACACATAGGTATAGGTACAGGGATGCACCAAATACATATGCGCCACACAGATCTCGTTTGATATGTGTGAGGGCTTTGATACTGCCCGGGTGCCCAAACCGAGGCAGGTGGTTTTCTTAGGGGGCCACACCCCGAGCCTTCGACCTGAACGTCTGATCCACAAGGCAGTGGAGCATCGTAAGGAGATACAGTCCCATGGTAGCCGGTGACCAACGATTGGTTCATACGCCATTTGTTCCCTCAGGATACTGGAGCCCATGTGCACCATTGGTTTGGGATCCGGTTCGCTTTTCGTCCTCTCATTTTCGTAAACAACAGTAATGCCACATGAAGGCAGTGAGTAGGACTTCCCTAGCAGAGGCTATATACGCGTGGCCATGTGAGAGCATTTGGAGAGGGAGAGCGGACTCTCCCCACTCTCGTCCGTATCAGGGCACTTGGGGGCCCTCATATTCCCAAGTTACAATTAGTTTGACTCTATTTAAAACATATTTTCTGCATTGAATTGAGAGTCTACTAGAACTGACTAGATGATGAGGATCAACGATACTTGGTATAAGGTCATTAAGGTTGACTCTTCCGAGACATTTTCACCAAATTTCTTGAAAATCTCATTAGTAGATAGTGGAACACTAGAATAATCAGCATCTATCAACATTTTATTAGGTCGCCTAAATCGTTAAACATACAATTCAAGATCATTAGTAGGTGAATGGACAGTTGACATTAATAAGTAATTCTTCCATGGAAAGTTCTGTTAAGTGTTAACAATGCTTTTTGGACAGTCATCAAAAACCCTAAAAACTATGAACGATCATGCATATTCTTTATCTCGGTATATGTTAAATCATTTTCGCAATATTCCATATTGTACAACAAGTGTAACATATATAGATTTCATGCACAACAATCTCCTAATAGGAGATCAATCCCCGAAAATTCAGTCGATGAGAGCCTGGAGCTTCTCTGAGGCTACTGCCGGTTTTAAGCCCGGATAAGGAGTAGGGTTGACCATGGGGTTAGCGACCCCATCCCGTAGAAAACTAACTCGCTAAAAAAAAAAACGCTAACCAGAAAAAATTATTATCTGACTTATGGAATTTCATAAAATAACGGCAAAGAATTCCTCTGATGTTTCCCTAAATATTCAACATCATTCTATATTGTACATTGTATTCCTTGATTATGTTTAATGTCTTTTGGCTTTTCTTTTACTGGATTTTTGCTACCTCAGATAATGTTATTATTAGTTATTTGTTCTACGTGTTTACTTTTTCTTCATTTCCTTTGACTGTGATCTGGAGTATATAGACATGAACTAACATACATTTATGCGTTGTTCTATACTATTTTCCATATGTCTCAGTCAGTCAGTCAGCTACAATGTAGGATCAGTTACATCTATGTATCGGTCCATGTTACCACACCTCATTCATTAGCAAAACAAGATGAACACCAGATTCGTAGAAGTAGTTCATTCAATGGTGGTAATATATAAAAGAACGATTTTGCATATAAGGATAGAGTACAGGAAGAAACAACTAGTTCGTAGAAAAAAAGATGTGAAGCGGTTTTAATCTAACAATTTAAGGGAAGACAACGAGTGTATACACCTACATAATTGTGATCGATTCTGAGCCATGTCACACACAGTCTCCAACCATTGGTTACGACAGTTACGTGGACCTGAATCAAGTAATCTGCATCTACCAACATGACTGAGACTAGAAGTTAGTGACTTCAAAGACCGATGCCACGTTTTGGTTTGTCCGTCCCTACCTTTCTTCCAACCATCCCCAACACTCGACAATATTGTGCGTTGTGGTAATTGGTGTTCATGTATATGTAACACGTGGCCCAACCATCTCAGTCGATGAAGATTGACAACCTCATCAACTGATTTAACATCATTACCTAATACCCTGCGTCTAACCTCACTATTATTACTTGGTGATCCCAACAGATGCCAGCAATATTTCTAAGGCATTTGTGACCAAATTCTAGTAGTTTACGAGTATCTTCAACTCTTAATGACCATGTTTCGCAGCCGTAAAGTAAAACAGAACGAACTGCCGCGCAGTATACTCGTCCTTTTATTGATAGATGGATATCTATATGTCTGAGTATGATCTATTTTTAAACTACAATATATTGGAGTAATGCACAATCACAGGGCTGTGGTATGTTATGATTAATTCACATTCCAGTTGTATGAATCGGTAAAAATCAACATGGGATTTATTCTATTTCTCGAGAATATTTAATCTCTACATGCTTCACTCGTTTGGTGAACTAAATGCAAACACTACTTTAAAGTCCCCTGTACTTGCCTTCAATACGGTTCTACTATTTAACAGACTTAATACACAATATAAAGAAAAAAATTATTCAGAAGGGGTTTATGTGGAGATTTCTAGTAATTTTATAGTTGAATTGATGAGTCAGTTGAAACTAAACTCTCACGGAAAACCTGGAAGCACTAGATGGTCGTTTCGTCCTAGTATGGGACTCCTCAGCAAAGTCCATCCACGATCTCGCCTTGCGAAATTCAAATCCGGGACTTATCAGTCTTAGGATTGTGGATGCACACCACTGAGGAGTCCCATACTAGAACGAAACGACCGTCCAGTGATTCCAGGTTATCCATGATGGTCTAGTTTCAACTGACTCATGAATTCAACTATAAAATTAAGTAAAATGCTAATAAGGCAACATATAATAACATAAGTGATGATTTTTCGACACAGGTTTCTTGAAAATGTTCTCCGATCTATCTTAATTTAAAACAGGTAACAAATTGGATATCATATTTTAGTATGACAGTTGTTAGTTTTCTTTAATCATAAATTGTCTATTGCATACAATAATTGAAATAAATTCATTTTATAGTAATCAAATATATTTACAATGAATAGAAAACTTGGAGATATTGTGGTCTCTGAACTACATAGTTTAGTTGTGAATATTTTATCGTGCTCCTGAACAATATCATCAACACATACTTCAAAGCTTGTTCTGTCTGTTGTGACTTTCCTTTCTACTAACCTGAACTCTGACCTTGCAGCTGCTAATTCTTTTTTTATTTATTGGTTGATAGATTTTTATGTGTATACTAATTGATCAGAAGGGGTTTTGTGGAGATTGTAGTAATTTCAATGATTAAGATTATGAGTCAGTTGAAGCTAGACCACCACTAGTGACTGGCTTCAAGAGGTATATCCTGGAGTTCTAGTGAGAAGTAGTGACCAGTGGAGTTCAACCAGGTCTGTTGTGGGATAGTAACTTAGTGAAGACAATGGTAGATGTGTCGCTCAATTTCGTGGATTAGTTGAAGTTAGACATTAACACCGTTGGATGCTGGCTCAGTGGTCTAGTGGATAAGTGTTCACGCGCGAAACCAGTAGGTCCTGGGTTCGAATCTCGCAGGGGGAGAGGTCGTGGATGCGCACTGCTGAGGTATACTAATTGATGTTTGATTAGAGTGCTTGGTTTCTAAAGATTCTTTAGCTTTCTTTTTATTTCCTCTGTTCAATATTTCGACGTTTTCCCAGTTGAACTCATGTTCATAATTGTGTTGATATAAGTCCAATGCATGTCATGTCGTTTATCACCTAACTGGTATCTGTGCAGACGTAAATTGAAACGATAGCCACTTTGTTCTATGAAATATTTGTTACAGTTTTTGAAATTTATCTTGTAGATATTGTTGAATTGTCTTCGTTTGTTGTTCTATCCTTCTGTTTGCATAATATTGTTTGAAACTATTTTGTCGCCCCATGAGCCTACACATCTATTTCTAATGGTCTTAATTATTTGTTCGTAATCTCAATGATGTGAGGTAAACCTAAACGTCTGCTTATTTACAAACATGGATATGGTGTCCTTTCCTAGATTCGGTTCGATGGAGGAAAATAAGTCTGTAGCATTGATTTGTCGTTAGTGTTAGAGATTTGATCAACTGATCATAAGTCCACTAGATGCTTTAATTTCTTTAATATATCTCTCGTAAGTTTGTAGAAGTTCCTGAGAGTACATCGATTCGACGTTTTTATTCTAATTCTAGTCTAAATCATCAAACTTTAAATAATGATTGAATAATTGTCTTTTTATCTGTATATTATTTATTTTAGATATCGTCTGGTAATAGACTCAATGTACTATTTGAACTAAAAGATCCTTCTGGAAATAGTTATATTCAGGTAAGAATAAAATATAATTTAATTCTGATTTCATGTTATTCTATCTACTAAAATATTGGTATTCCTGTTTTAAATTGATACAACTCCCCCAAATACCCTGGTATGGCCGAGAGTGGGGAGAGTCCGCTCTCCCTCTCCGAATGCTCTCACATGGCCACGCGTATATAGCCTCTGCCAGGGAAGTCCTACTCACTGCCTTCATGTGGCGAAGGTGTTGTTCTCGAAATTGAGAGGACGAAAAGCGAATGTCCGGCGCTTTAACCGGATCCCAAACCAATGATGCACATGGGCTCCAGTATCCTGCGGGAACAAATGGCGTATGAACCAATCGTTGGTAACCGGCTACCATGGGACTGCATCTCCTTACGATGCTCCACTGCCTTGTGGATCAAACGTTCAGGTCGAAGGCTTAGGGTGTGGTCCCCTAAGAAAACCACCTGCTTCGGTTTTAGCACCCGGACAGTATCACAATCCTCAAACAAATCAAATGAGATCTGTGTGACGCATATGTATTTGGTGCCCCCTTGTACCAGTATTTATGTGTTCAAATAAAATAAATAAATATTCTAAGTCAGTAAAGTAACCACATGAAATTCAAACCAGTCACCCTGTTGATAAGTTTTTTTGGATTACTCATAAATTTGTGGTGTATATCTTACACAATACACAATTTTCTTAGTTACTTATCATTGAAGGCGTTTATAACTTTCAGAAGCAAGCATATCGGTTATTTTTGAAGCTTATAAATACTCTTATTCATACTTCAAATGTATGTTATTAACTATGTGATTAACTGGGTAGTCTTGTGGTGAAGTAATGAACCTTTGAACTTTTGGGAACCTTAATGACAGTTTTGAACATGTGATATTGACTGAAATATATTCATCATTGACAATGTTCACTTTTCTTGACTAATTCACCATTATGAACAAGTGTTATTTGAACACATAAATATTAGTACAAGGTGACACCAAATGCATATGAGCCACAAAATAACAATCAGGTCAATATTGATTTGTGTGTGGGCTGTGATACTACCCAGGTGCCCAGATCGAAGCAAGAGGTTTTTTTAGGGGACAACACTCGAAGCCTTCGACCTAACGCTCTGATCCATATGGCAGTGGAGCAATTTCAGGAGATTCAGTTCCCTCAGAATACTGGAGCCATGTACACCATTGGCTTTAATAAAAAAAACGTCTACCCACCTCTCTGACTTATAAGATGTATGTTTTGTAAACGCTTCATACTTTCCAATTATTACCCAATGTTTTTTTTTATTTCAGAATTTGTATGCACCTGATCCAGATCCAGAACTAGAAATGATAGAATATGAACGAAATGAAGAAGAAAATGAGCTTCTTGGTTTGAATGATATGAAAACTGAAGGCTATGAAACAACTGACACTTGAATGCTTATTTTTTTTTTTATGATTAAAATTTTGTCTTGATTATTTTGTATTTTTCTAAAAGAACCGGATACTAAATGGGTTTATTCTTCTAATGCTTCGATTCAATAGTAATCAAATTGACTTATTGTGATAAGTTAATGACAGTTCTATTGATTGAAATGCTGTTTATTTATCATATTTCTGTTACAATACTTTATTCCTAATCGAGTTTTTAAATACAAATAAATATATGACACAAAAATCATTCAATTTGTATGACAGTTTGGATACTGCTCGGATACCCAAATCGAAACAGGTGGTTTTTCCGGGGGGGGGTGTCATACCCGGAGCATTTGTGGGTCAAATTTTTCCTAAATCAAAGTGGTTTACTACCCTATTGAGTTTACTTCTGAATGTATTTACGAGATCATTTATACTTACAGAATTAAGTACATAGAATAGTCTAAAAGGGGACTGTAGTTTATCAGAAAACTTATAATTGAATAACTTTATTTTATTTGATAAATCTTACTCATGTAATTTTATTTAATCCAATCAAGATTCATGACATACTTGAGAATTACTAAATACTTATGTCTTATTAAACTTCACCTGTAGCTCCTTTGAGGCTACTGCCGGTTCCAAGCCCGGATAAAGGAGAACGTTTGGGTATGGGGTTAGCGACCCCATCCTGTAGAAAACTGACTCGCTAAAAAAACGCTAACCAGAAAAACTCACTCAAACCATTAAAATTCTACCCTGGGATTTAGAAGGTCTTCATTTAGAAGAATTATGACGGCTCATGGTGAAAGCCGAGTTTCTTCGGAAGTCACGATGCTGATACCCCTTCTGACAACCAGAGCAACCATTTATTAATGTTCATGCAATGCTCTCACAATGTGGGGGACTGGGAGAGGCTTTGCTATTGCGCAATTACAAACTTTTAGATTACAATAATTACACGTACTGGTTTACGAAATATGACTGAATATTTTTTCACTTTATAACCTACTCATCTAGTGAGAAGCCATGACCAGTGGAGTTGTTCCGTGTCGGGTAGAGACAGGTATCTACCTCAGTACAATCGCAGATGGTCGCGCCATTTCGTGGATTGGTTGAGGCTAGACATTAACACTGTTGAACGCCGGCTCAGTGGTCAAGTAGCACTAGTTGGATGTTTCGTCTTAGTATGGGACTCCTCAGCAGTGCGCAACCTTGATCCCGCTCCGCGAGATTTGAACCTGGGACCTATCGGTCAGGTCTTCCTTTCTAGTTCTATCCAATTTTTCTCATGTCTATCTCCATTTCCCGGCGTAATGTATTCTTTGGTCTTCCTCTCCTCCTCCTCCTTTGGACTTGAGGATTCCATGTGAGAGCTTGTCTTGTGACGCAGTTCGGTGCTTTCCTTAATGTGTGTCTTATACACTTCCTGATTTCTTCCTCCATTGGAATCTGATTTGTTCTCTCCCACAGTAGGTTGTTGCTAATAGTGTCCGGTCAACTGATTCGAAGTACTTTGTGTAGACAGCTGTTAATAAACACTTGTATCTTCTGGATGATGGGTTTTTTAGATCGCCAGGTTTCGGCCCCATACAGTAGAGCTGTCTTAACATTTGTATTGAAAATTCTGACATTGGTGTTGGTTGCCAATTGTTTTGAGTTCCAGATGTTCTTCAGTTGTAAATATGCTGCTCTTGCTTTGCCGATCCGTGCCTTCACATCTGCATCAGATCCACCGTGTTCAGCCATGATACTGCCCAAATATGTAGAGGTTTGTACTTCTTCCAAATCTTCTCCGTCAATTGTGATTGGATTGGTGTATACTGTGTTTTATAGGAGAGTCTTGCTTTTCCCTTTGTGTATATTGAGACCTATTGCTGTTGAGGCTGGTTCTACACTGGTCATCTTCTTCTGCATTTGTTGTTGCGTTTGCTATGGAAGAGCCAGTTCATCTGCAAAGTCTAGATCATCCAACTGCATCCTAGCTGTCCACTGTATCCCGTGCATCCCCTCAAATGTTGACGTCTTCATGATCTAGTCGATCACTAGGAGAAAGAGAAAGGGTGAGTAGAATACCAAAAAAAAAGAAGAAACTCCAACCAGAAAAACGCAAGAAATGTTACTAGGTAATGAATACTGAACTTGAAATAAAAATCAATGATCACCCGTTGATCATTTAAATCACTTCATCCATTTTATTGATCACCATTTGTTCTTTTAAATAAATCATTCTAAATTGTTTCCATTTACATATAATACAATATATGAGTGTATAATTTGTAAATCATTATCCATTAACCTTAGTTATTTGTAAAGAAAGACATGAAACATTATAATTCCTTGTTGTTTATCACCATTATTCTATATAATAAATCAAATGATATAGTATTCTATATGATATAGTGAACATTCTATGAATCTTAATTATAATAAGGAATATCAATTTCTACTAATACATTCATATGACTAACAATTACTGACACATATAGAACAATAATGAATGACCTATTCACTTTTAGTCAATCAGCAACAATGTAGGATCAAGTACATCTATGTATCGGTCCATGTTACCACACCTCATTCATTAGCAAAACAAGATGAACACCGGATTCGTAGAAGTAGTTAATTCAATGGTGGTAATATATAAAAGAACGATTTTGCATAAAAGGATAGAGTACAGGAAGAAACAACTAGTTCGTAGAAAAAAAGATGTGAAGCGGTTTTAATCTAACAATTTAAGGGAAGACAACGAGTGTATACACCTACATAATTGTGATCGATTCTGAGCCATGTCACACACAGTCTCCAACCATTGGTTACGACAATTACGTGGACCTGAATCAAGTAATCTGCATCTACCAACATGACTGAGACTAGAAGTTAGTGACTTTTATGACTGATGCCACGTTTTGGTTTGTCCGTCCCTACCTTTCTTCCAACCATCCCCAACACTCGTCATATTGTGCGTTGTGGTAATTAGTGTTCATGTATATGTAACACGTGGCCCAACCATTTTCTAAAGAGAAAATGAGATAAAAAACAAATAGTTTGTCCATCAATTCAACGATGAATAAACACCGTAATCATTTACTATCTAATTTCAAATAGGTTTAGTGATGGTTTTCTTACAGAATCATCTAGATTTCACATCCTCATTTAATCAATCTATGAAACTCTCTTTGATAATTGCAATACTTTTATGCTCGACTAGTTATTATGTTCCATGTATATTGCCACCAAACGCCCTGGTATGGACGAGAGTGGGGAGAGTCCGCTCTCCCTCTCGAAAAGCTCTCACATGGCCATGCGTATATAGCCTCTGCCAAGGAAGTCCTACTCACTGCTTTCTCGTGGCGGGGGTGTTGTTTATCAAAATGAGAGGACGAAAAGCGAATGTTCGGCGCTTTAACCGGATCCCAAACCAATGGTGCACATGGGCTCCAGTATCCTGAAGGAACAAATGGCGTATGAACCAATCGTTGGTCACCGGCTACCATGGGACTGTATCTACTTACGATGCTCCACTGCCTTGTGGATCAGATCTTCAGGTCGAAGGCTCAGAGTGTGGCCCCCTAAAAATCCACCTGCTTCGGTCTGGGCACCCGGGTTGTATCACAGCCCTTACACATATCAAACGAGATCTGTGTGGCGCATATGTATTTGGTGCCTCCTTGTACCAATATCTATGTGTTAAAATAAAGTAAAATAATAATCCATGTATATTAACTATGAGACGGTGATCAATTATCCTGATGACAAACTCCACATTACGTTATGTATATCGTCTATATCAATCATTGTGATAGACAAACTTATCGATACTCTATATTCTGGATAGATACACTCGACTGTTGGCTAAATGTATGTTTGCGTTGAATATTGATTGAAGTTGCATATCATTGTTAGGTGAAAGCGATCAAATTTTACAGGAAATCGAATATATTTTGAAATATCTTTCGGTATTGAAATTCCTCTTAAATTTGTAACAGAATGGAAATGAATTTCTCCATAAGGAAGCATTCGTAGTTGAATATTTAGATGTTGGTGTTATCGACGATATATTTTGATTGAGTTAGACAATATTCAGTGTTTAAAGTCTGTTGGTAGAAATTCATGGTGGTTGGTACAGAAAATATGTTTCTGTGAAAAGTAGTTGGTATGAGGCCTGTTTACTGCTGCACCCCACTTCCAACATAACACATATAAGCAGCATATAGTGCATCTGAGGGTATGTTAAACAGTGCAGGTTAGATACATTGTGGTTTCACAGTCAAGGAATTTACGGAGAAGGGAGTAATACTTTTCACAGAACATCCATCACTCGATTTATTGGGACTTGATTGGATGGATAGGCCTAAGTTAACAGATCGTCCCATAAACTCGAAAACTCATTGTAGACGTAAAATGACATTTAGTGAGGGACTTGGAGAATGCACTAAATTTAGAGCTACTCTTACCCTTCGATAAAGATCGAAGCTGGTGTTTTGATTTAGAAAACCAGTATCATACTCTGCCCTCCCAATGGTTAAACAAAAATTCGAACTACTTCACGAATTGGATGTTACTGAACCGGTGAACTTCCCAGAATAAGCTGCATCGGTAGCAGTTGTAAAGTAAATCAACCATATATACAACCTTAAAATCAAACTGGATTTGTAGAATGATTACCGTCGGTTAGGTGTTCAGGTATAGAACTCTTAACTGCTTTCCTCTCACCCTTGTAGAATTAAAATGGGACGTGTTCCCGTACTCGAGTTGAAAGCTAGCGCTGGGTATGGATACAGGAACACGTCCCATTTTGTTTCTACAAGGGTAAGAAGAAGGCAGTTAGGAGTTCTATACTTGAACACCTAATCGATTGTGTGACTACGCTTATCCAAACCATCGACTTTTGTCGATTGAACTGAGTTGAAGTCAGTAGTCAATGACTCGAGATTGTGTACATTGTGTCAAGTGATTGGAGGCAGCTATCATGTCAAAGATTGCAAGTAAAATTAAAATATACATTTAATTATAAATGATATTTGAAGTAACCTTCAGTCATAATTTACATTTTTAAGGTCTTCCTCAAATCATTACGTCAAGCAAGGATAGGATTCATTGCTTCGCAGTGCGAAAGCTGCTCGAGTACTTGCGTCTCCCCGACAAAACATTATGTCGTATATAAACGATTTAGTATCATCACGCTCATACCACAACTAGATATTGTGTCGACCCTACTTACTTACGCCTGTTTCTTCCAATGGAGCATAGGTTGACGACCAGCATTCGCCAACCCACTTTGTCCTGTGCCTTCCTTTCCAGTTCTGTCCATTTCTTGTTCATTCTTCTCATATCTGTCGCCATTTCTCGCCGTAATGTGTTCTTTGGTCTTGAGGATTTCAGGTAGGGGCTTGTCTTATGACGTAGTTAGGTGCTTCCCTCAATGTGTGTCCTATCTACTTGCAGCGCATCTTTCTAATTTGTTCCTTCGCTGGAATCTGATTTGTTTTCTCCGACAGTAGGTTGTTGCTGATAGTGTCTGACCAACGGACCCACCTGGAGCCCCTCTTGGGCTACTGTCGTTCCCTGGCCCGGATAAAGGAGGAGGGTTGGGTATGGGGTTAGCGACCTCATCCCGTAGAAAACTAACTCGCTAAAAAAAGCGTTAATCAGAAAAAATAATTCGTGTCAACCCACGTACCCCGAAATCCGGAATATGGTTTATGGTTGTCACTCTGGCACAACACCAGACCTAATGAGCCTAGCTGGACACATGGTCCAGTCTAGACACCAAAAAGAATGCGTAAGCTTGCCCAACCACTTGTTGGATACAGAATGTACCATTGCAAATTTACAATTATTAGTTAAATTGGGACTGATAGAATTAGTTTTAGTAAATAGCGAAATTTAAAATGTGAAAATTTCAAATTCATATTTATACTACTGAATTCTAATTGAAGAGTATTTTAACTTGATCAATATCTTCTTGTATTTAGTTTTAAAACATAAAACATTTTTTTTAAATCTAGATTAAGATCAAACAGTTACACATCAAATCATCAGTCAGTCAGATCTGTAGGATAAGGTGAGGTGTACATTTTTACGGTCGACCTTTTCTAACCCCACCCTTCCTTGTGAGAAGGCAGCGTCGCTGTTATGCTGGTTGTCTGAAAGAAACACTTTACTGCCGTCACACCTCTGTACAGCTAGCAGTACGAATTCACCTTCAGTCCTTGGTTTTGCTGCTTTTAGTCCTACTGTTCTTTAATCAACCCGTCTGGTACGGTAGGACTTTGAGGAACAATTGTTTCAGTCAATATAGCTCGATTGCTTCATCACGATAGGCAAGCCCGACCACCACATCACGGTAGCAACAACGGTCGGATACATATAAAATATTAGAATTTATAAGTCAATATTAAGTCCTAGGTTCAAATCTCGTATGCGGAATCGTGGATGAGCAGTGTTTAGAAGTCCCATACTAGGAAAAAACAGCCATCCATTGTTTCCAAGTTTTCCTTAATAGTCTAGCGTACATCGATGTATCGACTCAATTATTAAAATCACTACGATCTCCATAAAACACCATCCTCTCTCCCCCCCCCCTGTTGATGTTAAATATTGTGTTCAATTTACAAAATTTCTTCTTTATCCCTATATTAATTTTGTTTAGATTAAGTTAACTAGAATCATGAAACAGTAGTGTATTATTTCTAGAATTTGTGAATAAGTTTCTTCTTTTCTTTTGTTTTCCTTATTTTTTTTCTCTTATAACCATCGAAATTTTCACCTTTAATATACATTAATCATTAGATTGTAAATGAATACAATCTATTTAAGATAATAGTCGAATCTAAATACGTCAATAGATAAGATGTAGTGCTTTTTTCTTTTCCCTTTTTTCTCTCCTTTCTTTTCTCTCTTTTCTTTTCTTTCTTTTCTTTTTTTTTTTTTTGCTGTATATTTCGTTCTAATTTAAATCCATTTATTGTTATGTGTAGGCAAAGAAAAGTAAATTCACTTGGTGTTGTTTTGTTACTTATATCTTCCCATTGTTATTTAGGACAGCAATGGATTAGTCTCTTATTGGCATATGTGCAACTTGTGCGGATTGCCTTGATATTACTTTAGATCACATGCTTTATAAGCAATGATACATAGTGGCTAACAGTGGAATCCAGGATAAAGCGCGTTTCGTCCTATTTGGAACTTATCAACTGGATGTACCTGTATCTCAGAGTTAATGTTCACTCCAGCACTTGAATCCAGTACCGTTCGTTTCAAATACCATCACTTTTTCCACTTAGCTACTGAGTGCTGATAGCCACTTACTTGTACAATGTGGCGAAGTTTAAATTCACTTGGTTTTGTTTTACTTGTATCTTCCCATTGTTAATTAGGAAAGCAAATGATCAGTCTCATGTTGGCATACTGTTATAACTTGTGACCTGTGTGCCCTGTTTATGCATAACCTAACGATACCGCCAATTAGAGAGCAAAGAAATATCGACCGGACCAATGACGCATAAAACCTGTACGAGCAGTCTAGAATACTTATCGTACCTGCTTCCTGCCTAGCACAACCAGTTAAGTCCAGAACACCAATCTCAGCCTCTGCCATATGAATCATTTATTTCAAACATACTGGGTTTATATACCAACCAGACAGATCACATCGTACCAATAAAATAGGAAACAACATTTACACAAGATTTGGCCAAATGTGGCTGTGAATGTGGGAGGTAGTGATTAATAGACAGGGTATAACTCAAGAATGGTAAATCGTATAATACTGGTACATAGATCAAAATAATGGGGACATGACTATGAATAGTTTAGTTATTTAACAATTATACGATTAAAAAAAGTACGCATAGTATTGATCCATATATCGATCCCAAAAGTTACCATTCATTATGTTTATTGGGGCACAACACATTATATACATCCTTTACGAATTGCCTTGATATTCCCACTATCCATGTTTGCTTTTAATGCAAAATATAAGGTTCATTTATTTTAAAAATCAAAATTTTCATGTTTCTTTTATAATTACTATTATGTAATAGTTTTGTAAATTATTATCATTGTTAAAATTTAAGATGAATGAAAGCTCAAAGGTTGAGGATAATATTCATACCTAATAAGTATACATAACCAAGTTACACTTGATGGAAAAAACTCTGGAAGATGTTGAATCTTTCACGTACCTGGGAAGCAACATCAATGAACAAGGAGGATCTGATACAGACGTAAATGTGAGGATTGGCTAAGCAAGGGTCTCATTCCTACAATTGAAGAACATATGGAACTCAAAACAACTGTCAACCAATATCAAAGTAAATGTCTTCAATACGAACATTAAGACAGTTAGTTCTACTGTACGGAGCTGAAACTTGGTACAATTATTTATAAATATTTGTCTAAGCAAGATACTGAATGTCCGTTGACCGGTTATTATCAGCAACAGCCTACTGTGGGAGAGAACAAATCAGCTTCCAACTGAAGTAGAAATTCGGAAAAGACTTGAATGGATAGGACATAGGATATGATGAAGACATAAAGACGACGATTAGCAAAACAAGGACAGCATTTCCACAGACAAACAACATAAGGAACTCAAAACAACTATTTACAAGTCAACATTTAATTGAGAATTTTTAATACGAACGTTAAGTTAGTTCTACTGTCTACTTTAGATATTCAATGTTCGTTAACCAGATACCATCAACAACAGCTTTCTTTATGAGAGAACAAACCAAATTCTATTTTAAAAATGAAATTAAGAAAAGACGTTGTAATTGGATAGAACATACGTTACGCAAATCATCAAACTTCATCACGATACAATCTCTAACTTGAAATTCTGAAGGGAAACGAAAAAGAGGAAAGTCAAAGAACACATTACATCGAGAAATAGTAGCAGATATGAAAAGGATGAATACGAACTGTGAAAGGATTACCCATGACATGGTTGGATGCAGAATGCTGGTGGGCAGCCTCTGCTCCTCGACAAGTGGTAACAGGTGTAAGTTAGTAAGCATACACAATGATAACACTTCATAATATATATAATCAGGACAACAATAAACGAAGTACCAAGGTAACAAAAAAAATTACAATTCACAAAAGCACAAATAAATCAATTTTTCTTTTAAAGATCTGTTCATATCTCATTCTTTAAATACTTATTACTAATAGAAGCCAAATAGAATGAAACATTCCATTAGAGTTTTACCGGTTAATTTTCTGTCATTTAATCTTACCTCTTCAATTATTATTAGAAGTGCAAACGATGTTGTTGTTGTTGTTGTTGTTGGTGGTGGTGGTGGTAATTTTTGTCATATTAAGATATACAATGTATATCAGTGGGTGGGTTTTTGATAGGGAAAAATATCGATTCATATCATTCATGTTTAATAATCGATTTTACATGTTTTCACTTTGTGTTACACATCTATTTTTGATTGGTTTATAAATAGCATAGGGGAATATATACAATTTGAAAAGAGATCTATATTATTTTAAGCAGTGAAGTTATTTCAATTCATTATAAAGTACACTTACATGGTTTAGTTTGTTGTTGCGTGTATATATGTGTGTGTGGTGGTGGTGGGGGTGGTGGTGGGGGTATAATGATATATTTGGATTTGTGTATCTCAACACTATAACATTTAGTATATATGTCTAACCTACTATTATTTCACTTGAATTCCCCACTATTCCACCTCCATAAATATTCAATTTTTCTTATATCATAACAGAAAGTAGCATACAAATAGTCTTTCACTAATGTAAGTTAATCATTTACTAATTTGTATTAAATCTTACAGTATTTGGTACTTACTTGTAATCAACCTTATTATGTAATGTTATCTATATTCATTTAGTACACAATGTATTATTATTAGTGGCTTTATTCAATATTATAATTTTTGGTACCATAAAGAGTTCTCAGCACATAGTAACTAAACAAGTTTTCCATTTTTTTACTACTTGATTGATCCTGATCATAAATAATTGAGTCAACACCAGTTAGATGTTATCAGTTCAGTTAATTGACATCTGAATCATGTTTATTCTCTTCAATGCATAGGGCTAGCAATCATGATATCTTTGATTGAACCTCTTATAACTTGTACAATGATATGATGTAGACTTTTTACAAATGCAACTGAATAGATTATGTAACTAATAGGTATAGTGATGTGTTGTAATAAACAAAGAAACAGTTAACTTGTTGAAATATCCAGATAGCAAGGACAGATAGACCAGTTATTCAAGAAGGCTGCAATCATTGTTTATAAAACTAGTTGCTATATTATGATTATTATTACCACTTAGCGTTTTTAGTTGCCATGGTAACACATACTAACTTATTTGTTCATTCTTTTGTTTTTCTTAAATGGATCATTTTAGATTAAAAAAGAAGAAATGATGAATCACGATACAGAATCACATGTGAAAATTTCAAGAACTATTTATCGAGGAGTATCACCAAGTACAACAAGACTTGAGGTATAATTAATTATCTATCTATTTTAATATGTCACTTTATATGTATGATACTACTTATTTTCTATATAAATAATAGTTCGAACATTGTATAATTATTATCAGAATAGAGTAGGGGGGGGGCAGGTTGTAGTGATTGTAATAATTCTAATAGTTGAATTCATAAATTAAGTAAAGTTAGACCACCGGTTCAATAGTTTTGAGGTTAAGTACTTGCGAGCGAGACTGATAGATCCTGTGTTCGAATCTCGCTTACAGGATCATGGATTCGCCATCCAATACTTCTAGGTTTTTCATGATGGTCTAGCTTTAATTGATTCATTATTTATTATTTTAAATAGAGTATCTTTTTCTAATTGATTGTATTATTTTGATTGTTATAGAGTCGAGTACGTGAATTAGAAGATCTTTTGGATTTAGAACGTGATGCAAGAGTTCGAGTAAGTCTATACAAAATTGTTTATTATTATTTTTATATTAATTAATTGTAATTAACTCTGGGATGCAGGTACATCCAACTGACGAGTCCTAAATAGGACGAAATGTGTGTCAAACTGGATTTCACTGTTAGCCACTATTAATTTTTGTTTAAAAATCTCTTCAAATATGTTGATATTATCTATATATCCGACATGTAACAAAATGACAGTTCTGATATACAAAACAAAAGTATCAAGAAACTGCATGATAACAGATCTTATATGTGTAGTCTCTAAACATCTATGCTAAGTCAATGTCCTACAGCATTGACATTAAAACTTTTCTTGATATCATCTAAGTAACAGTTCAATTTTATAACATCTCCCAGTAGATTATTTCGCAATAAATAAATGATCGTCGATGGTCACGTAATATTCAAAATGAAGGAAGGATTGATTCATGATGTTCAAGATTAGTTGTTACTTTTTTATTCTTTACTGATTTGAGTTCAAGATCTCCTTCATCTCTAGACCACTGAGATGGTCGGTATTCAACAGTATTAATGTCTAACTTCAACCAATCGACGAAATTGCGCGACCATTTCCTATTATACTGAGATAGATATCTGTATGTAACTGACATGATTAGCTCCACTGGTAGAGCATGTTTTAATCTTATACCTAATATTATTGAACCATAAATTAGATTGTAAAACTCTCAATGAAAGTAGTGTTTTGTGAAGTTTCCAAATTACTTCTCACTAACTGGATCCTACTATTTATCTTCTAAAACACTCAGATTAGTTAATATACTCAAAGGAAAAAGTTAAAAATATGATATATTATCTGAATAAGATTTTACTACTAGTTGCCGTTATTAAGTACTATTAAAGATTTATTCAGTTTTCTAATAAGCCTGTTGTGTGTACTACTGATGTCGACAGATATAAGTAGTACGTATCATCAGTCGAAAGCGGAATGTTTGGCGGTAGAAAGTTAAGAAGAATGAAGAAAAGGGAATGAGAACAGAAAATAATTGGTGAGGAAATGAAGGAATCACCAAATCTGAGACGATTGATGGATAATTTGCAAATCAAGTATTTACTGTATGGTTCTTAGATTTTACTAAGTGATTAAAATTACCATATACATAACTAATGCAATTAGGTTTAAATACCATTTTGAAATTACTTGTGGTGGAGTTTTATTCTCTGAACCGGATGGCTTGCTCGTGGAGCTTTCATCGTTCATCTGAACGACCAACTAGAGTTTTATATAGATGATGTCTTTTAGAAGAACGATAAAAGCTCCACAACCGAACTATCCAGTTCAGAGAGCGAAATTCTATCAAAATCATCCACCTGAGCTACAAATCTTCTCCACCATCTCAAAATCTTATGAGCGTCGTACGCTTCTCGTAGTTCGCTAAATGGGAGAATTTCGCCAAAATGCAGACTTCCACCCGTGAACAACTGTATTTCCTCCATGAGTGTCTTCGTCAGCATGTTCTACAAATATTAATGGCTTTAAATTAGATAATAATGAAAACGAACGATAGTGTTCTATTAACATACGTTTTATACCGGTAAATGAACTATCTCTTTGTAGTGAATGAGAAGACAGCATTACAGAATCTCTTAGTATAATCGGAGAACCATACAATAAATACTTCATTCGCAAAATATCCATCAATCGTCTCAGACTTCATTGTTCTTTCGTATCTACGCCAATCATTCTTTGTTCTCATTCTCTTTTCTTTGATCTTCTTAACCTTCTACCATCAGGCATTTCACTTTCGATTGGTGATACATACTACTTATATCTGTCGACATCAGTAGAACACACCACACCTTTAGTAACCATGGTCTGAAAATAAATTTGATCTATATGCAGTTCAAAATTTCCAGAACTGTTTTCTTTGAGCATGTTTCTTAATAGCCAATAGTGTAAAATTGTATTCTTTTTTTGGCTTAAAATTGAAATTACTGAAACACACATTTGACTTATCCTATAAACTTAAGTTTTAACTAATTTATGGATGACCTTTGAACAACCGTAAAATAACCTTGATTGTTCACCTAACAACTAGGACGAAATGAGGATTATGAAACATTGTGGGTGTGTGTGGGAGGGGTAGAATTATGATTTGCAGTTGAAAGTGACGGTTAGGAATTAGATATTGGTGTTTTCATCACGAACTGACATTAGCCATAATGCCAAAACTCTATTTTTCCAAACGGATGAATGAGTTTCGCGCCAAAATCTGAGACCTATTATCCGTAAATCTGATTGGTTCGTTTATAAATTTTATTCTCGCCAGAATTTTATTATCAAACTAGACATCATCATCATCATCATCATCATTGATACCTCTTCAGATAACAAGAATTTTATCATTATAATTTTGTCCACCTCGAAACTAATACCGACTAAACAATCTTGGGTTTTCAATGTTCCTCAAATAGCAACCATAAATACCAAATAACTATGGATGAAAGCATTTTTGTAATTTTCCAACCTGTACTTTTAATCCTAATATGGTACATGACTGAATCTACTTATCAGCTAACACTCTATCATATTGGTGAAACAGATTAAATGTACAAATTTTGAAATACTATGATAGTTATCATCAGTTGATATAAGCTAGACCACAATTGAATACCTGGATGAATTAAACGGATATTCTATTGTAGTATGAGACTTCTCAGAAAATGCACACCTACGATTTCGCATGCCAGATTTGAACTCAGAACCTTCAGTTTTGCTCAAGAACCCTTAATCTTTAGACTGATAAGCCGGTATCCAATGGTGTTATTGTTTAAGCTAGATTAATTTAAAGACTCAGTGGTCTAGAAGTCTAGCGTTAACGCGCGACACCGAAGGTCCTGTGTTTGAATCCCGCGTGCAGACTAGTGGATGCATACTACTAAGGAGTCGCATACTAAAACGAAACGACCGTCCAGTACTTCCAGATATTCAGTAATGATCTAATATCAATCGATTCATGATCTCAGTCAAAACTCGATAATCTCTACTACCCTATACTGATAATAGTAGATTTGTTGAACTTATCAACTATTTATTACTGAAGTATGAATTTATATTACTTACTTGTTAATATTACAGCTATTTGTGCTAGTGAAATATATAAGGACATTGACTAATGAATGAATATATACTACATATATGAGTACTAACCCATATCAAATTCAATTGATGAGTTCAATGTAAAATGAAATACTCTTTATGAAGTGTATTAACTATTATAAAGGATAATAGAACTACATATGCTTCTAATAAGTTTCTGTATTGATCAAGATATTTATATTTTTCACTGAAATAGTAAATTTGATGAAACTATAATTATCATTATTGGGGTTGTGGAGATTATTAAGTTCGCGGTTTGAATCCCGCGAGCGGGATCGTGGATGTGCACTACTGAGGAGTCCCATACTAGGACGAAACGGCCGTCCAGTGCTTCCAGGTTTCCAACGATGGTCTAACATCAGCCGATTCATGATCTCAATCAGAAACTACAATTAATGGATAACGCTTGAGTGATGCTAGACTGACCTTGAAAGTGTCCACCTATTGATAATCAGGACCAAATGTAGGTCATAAACTTGTGTAGGGAATTAGAATTAGAATTAATTAATTTTAGTCTCAAATTTTCTAAACTTTTATAACTTTCATATTGTATTTAACCTTTATAATTTTATAGGCTGAACGACATGCTGCTGATTTAGGTTTTCAAGTTGATGCATTATCAGAACGCTTAGATGAAGCTGGCGGTTCTACAACTCAAACTGTAAGTTATTCTTTTCCTTTTTTTTCTTTCTTTCTTTCTGTTGTTTACCCTTACTCATTAAGTTCTCTATTAGTAAAGCTATGTTCTTTTTCTTCTTCCTAACTGATACCATCATTACTTAATCACAGTTGTATGTATGTATGTTCAATCGAGTTTCATCTTTATTCTAGCCATAGGCCACTTTGTCCATTTCGGAAATCATTAAAACACTTAAATCAATACAATTAGGTCTATGTATATTTATGTAACAGTGATTAGTAATTCAAGTAGCCTCTCAATCAATCATTGAATCACTCCTCTGATCCTTTCCATAGTTATAAAAACACATGAAAAAACTTTCAAAGTTGACATTCTATCATGGATTACAAAATCATACAAACCTGTATGATAATAAAAATAAACAAATGATATTCTAAGCAAAGATGGATAGTGGCTAGTAGTGGAATTAAGTTTGATGCATGTTTCGTCCTATTTGGTACTTGTCAGTTGAATGTTTCTTCATATCAGAGTTAATGTTCACTTTGGGACTCGAACTCCGTAATGTCCACTTTAAATTCACATTCTGGATTCCACTGTTATCCACTATCCATCTTTGCTTAGAATGCTTGTATGAATTAAGGCAATATCGAGGCAATGAGCACAGTATGCACATATGTTAATAACAGACTGATCAATTACACTGTTAAACATCAATGCAAAGATTCAAGAAACAAAATACCAAGTAAATTTAAACCAACGATATCTTTTCAAAACTGAGTTTAATAGCTTCCGGTTTTTTTTTTGTTTTCTGAGCACTCATATCAGTTTTCTTTTAACATACCTCATGATGATATTAATCCATTAGGTTAATGACTTACAGAAGTTCCTCTTAGCTGTAGATCATCACTTTATAAAGGAGTGTTGTTTACAAAGTCGAGAGGACGAAAAGATAATATCTGGTGCTTTAAAAGTGTTGGTGGACACTACGGGTACACTTAGGGAAGTTGGAAAACCCAGACTCCAATCCAATGGTGCACATGGGCTTCACGATCCTAGGGAAACAAATGGTGTATGAACCAATTGTTGGTCACCAGCTACCATGATACTTCATCTTTTTACCTTGCTCCATTGCCTTGTGGACCAGACCTTTAGGTCGAAGGCTCTGGTTGTGGTCCTCTAAGAAAACTACCTGCTTCAGTTTTGGCACCCGTGCAGTACCACAGTCGGCACACAAATCAAGTGACTTTTGTGGCGCATATTCATACGGTGCCCCCCCCCCTGTACCAATATTTATGTATTCAAAAAAATAAATCACAGAAACACTGATGTATATAACGATATCTTATGCATAAAGTTAACACTTAGAAAACAGTTTATACCAGTTTATTAATAAAGCACTTTACCTAGGTTATCTAGTAGCTAGAGGAGTGAATGATTTCAACTTTATTAAAGAATGTTACACAACAGTCTGCTTTGACAGATATTCCACTAGATTGACGTATTACTCCACCGTCATTGAAGAACCTGTTACCAGTTTACCTAAATGATCTAAACAACCATGAGCTATTTTAACTACTTCTTTACTTAGTATATCCGATTATTGAATCAGATAAAAACAAATAAACAAACGTGTAATTTAGTAGTTGAATTCATGATTCAATTGAAGCTTGACCATCATGAGAAATCTGGAAGTACTGGATGGCTGTTTCGTCCTAGTATGGGACTCCTCAACAGTACACATCCATGATCCCACCTCATGGGATTCGAACCCAGGACTTATAAGTTACGTGCGCAAGCGCTTAATCTCTAGACCACTGAGATAGCCAGTATCCAATGGTGTTAATATTTAACTTCAATCAATTCACGAACAAGTAGGTAATAAAGGAAAGTATTCTTGTATAATAATTATTATGACTGAATGTGATAAGATTTTACTTCCTTTAGTAAATTATTGTCTAATTTTGGCATTCTAAATATCAGTCAACAACAATATCAACACCAACACCAACAACAACAATAATCCATAATATTCATTATTAGATTACCTATTTTTCATTAATTATTTGTATTCTATAAACCATTACATAGTTAGGCTGACAGTAAACTAAGTGCGGTCATACTTAGAATATTCCAAGGTTGTTCTCCGATAATCGTATAATTAGAATAATATTGAAATATCATTGTTTAGCCCCAGGTACAGAACTAGTGATATTCGAGACCTTAAATTGATATTATCCCCTTTTACTTTATCTTGCTTACTTTCATTCAGAAATGACCATATATGGTAATTTGATAAAGTATTTCTTTTTTAAAAAAGATGTAACCTTAGCTACAAGTATTAAACACACTACATAACAAAGGAATGTGCTAATGTCAGAACAGTGTAAATATGTACCCTCTTCTTGTATCTACGCACATACATACATACATACACACACACACAGCAAAGTTATTAATAAAAGAAATTAATGTTATGTGGTATGTGTGCAGAACTGGAAATGTAAATCTTCCTATCCAACACATGTCTATCCTTCTATTCCTATGTTTAATTACCTGTTACCTAACAAAAGATTTGTTTCCAATTCAATGGACAGCACAATGTATGTATACCGAACTTTTCCATGAGAAAGAAAAACATGTGTAAATTGGAATGACAATCGATAAAATAAAAAGTCCCATCCAATTTTTTTTTAAACTTATAGGTTAAAAATAGTAGTTGAATTCGTGAATCAATTAAAGATAGACAACCATGGAAAACTTGAGAGCTCTGAATGGTCATTTTATCGTAGTATGGGATTCTTTAGCAGTGCATATCTACGATCCCGCCTTGCATGATTCGAAATCAGTCTCACATGAACGATTAACCTCTAAGCCACTGAGCCGGTATCCAATGAACGAAACGACCGTCCAGTGTTTCCAGGTTTTCCACAATGGTCTAGCTTAAATTGACTTATGAATTCAACTATTACATTACTATAATATCCACACAACCTCCTCTCTCAATCGGTTAGCTACTATTATTATCCCAATCTCTATGGTAAAAACAATGTTCAGTTTCATTATAACTCCATAAACTAGAAAACTTGTGTCATGAGTTGTGAAATCCATAAAGTTGAAAACTCATGTCCACCTATGACATTAAGTGATAATTGTGTTACAATGATAAGTGATTTGAACTTAGAAAGTTGAATAATTCAATTTCAGTTTGTTGGCAAAACATTATCATACACAATCTAATGTTTCACTAATAAGCCTTTAATTTTATGTAACAATATTGATACGCAGTAATGAACTGAAGCGAAACGACGGTTCACTATATTCATGTTCACCACCTCTTTAATTGATGATACCATACTACAAAATGATTTAAGTTAAACAACCACCTGTAGCTAGGAGAAACTGGAGAGCCTCTTTGTTGTAGTATGAGACTTCTCAGCAATTCGATCTCTGGTAGCAAGGACATGAATGGTCACTAATGTGGTGTTCCATATTAGGGCTAAAGCTGACAATTGCTACTGCTTCAGCCTATCAGCGCAGTGGATTAGCGCGTCAGATGCGTAACCTGTGGTCTTGAGATCGAGTCTCACCTGAGGTAGGTTTTTCGGAGCCTCCAAATTCCCTGGTACGGCCGAGGGTGGAGAGAGTTAGCTCTCTCACTTGAAATGCTGTCACATGGCCACGCGTATACAACCACTGCCGGGGAAGTTTTACTCACTGCCTTCGTGCCACGGGGTGCTGTTTACGAAAATGAGAGGACGAAGATTGAATGTTCGGCGATTTAAGCGGGCCAATGGTGGATGATCTTAGGTTTCATCAATAATCTTCTATCTTTATATAGTTTAATACTCAATTCACAAATATTTCTATGAATCAAGTTAAGGTGCAAGTTGGACAGTAGAATAAATGTGAAACCTCATCAAAGAATTTGATAAAGAAGACATTTTATTTTACTAGAATTAATTCAAATTAATTTATTCGTTATAAGAAAAGCGTAAATGAATAGATATTTAAGCTTTTAATTCACTTTTAAGCGAAGATGGCTAGTGGCTAGCAGTGGAATCCAATTTGAAGCGTGTTTCGTCCTATATTGGACTCGTCAGCTGGATGTACCTGCATCCCAGAGTTGATGTTCACTCTTGAAATGGAACCCAGTACCCTACGCTTCAAACACTATCGAATTCTTCACTTAGCTACGGATTCCTGATAACCATCTGCTTGTTTCATGTTTATATCAATCTATAATATTTTCAAACGTTTCAAATACTTTTTTGATGAAGTTTTATTCTTTGAATTCAATAGTTTAGTCAATTTAAAGTAACAGAACTCCATAGAAATCATCTATCTAAACTACAGAGCTTCTCCATCATCTGAAACATTCAAATATCCTTGTACAGTATATTTTCTTTTTTCTTCTATTCTCATATTAACTAATAAAAAATTATCTACTTTTTATTCAGATGATAACTGAGAATGTGGTAAGATTAGTTAGTGATTAGTTTACTACTTATTACCACCCTCCCTCTATTTACTTTTTTAGTAGATCATTAGTAGTATTGAGTGTATACTTACATTTTATTTTTTCTATTAGGTTGTTTATCAGTGTTATATGATTAGTGTTGTTCTCATTATTGTCACTACTATCAACATCTAAATGTTATATATTTTATACTCAAACTTATGCCCAGATACATCAATATAGAAGATAAACATTGTGTCATGGTAACTATTTACTCAATTAGTTAGTTTGTTTTTTCTTCTTCTGTTGTTTCCATCATAAGTACTTGTTCTTTCATCATAACTTCTATAAAAATGAATATAAGAATCATAAAGCTTAAGTTAAAGACTTTATTAAAGTTCTTGACGATCATTGAAATCTGTCAGATGGTTTTAATTACTTGATAAAACACATAGTCAGTCAGTCAGCAACAACATAGAACTTCGTACGTACATACATCAGTTCGAGTTGTCATACCACATTAACACAGAGATACAATTGTCGATTCAAATCCCATAGTAGTAGAGGTAGTAAAAGTATAAACAGTAATAGGAAACATTAGGGTTTGAAGATGTTATTTAAAGAGTATAATCCAGTGAAATAAATTTGGAAAGACAAAAAATGGGGACATGAATAATTGCGAAGATTAGAATTTAGGAGTGGATGCACATGAGCTATTGCAAACGATTTTGAATCATGTCATTCAAAGGTCTATAACCATCGGTTGCTATCGTTTTGAGGATCCCAACCAGGTAGCCTACATCTACCAACATGACTCAGTCCACTTTTCAGTGACTTAATGAACCTAGACTCTATGGTTTTTGATGCTCGTTAGTAAAGAATATCTGAAATCTTAGAAAAAATTGGTGCTCACTATAAAGTTAAAGCTTGTATAGATCAAATTTACAGTTTGAGATATTACCCCTGAGCTACTAGGATTGTTATTGCATAGTGATCAGTCAATATAAATTGAAGACTGTATACAATAATACAATAGTTGAGAACTTAATAGTTGATTTGGAGACTAATAGATTACTTTTATCTATATGATATTAAATGATGTGTTTAGTTCTAAGGAATGTTTTGATGTAAAGATTTTTCACAAGTTCAACAATCAAGTTACTTGATTCAGAAAACTTCAAACATATTTATTTTTTTGTCGCTTTTGACAAGATTAGTGTAAGGACAATTCATGAATGAACTTGAAGAAGCTATAAGAAGCTTAGAAAAAGCCAAAGATATTCCATCCAGTTATCTCATTTAAAAGAATGTTCCAGAATCTCTACGTAGAGTTTCCCTATTGGACAAATGCTAATAACCCCTTGTATACCATAATTGACACTGTTTTGGAATAACATTCCTTTCATTTGTCTTTCATCTTCCTATTTGTGACTTATGAGGATTCTACCGTTCGAGTGTTCAATTTATGCTCCGGTATTATGATTTCAACTACAACATAGAAGGAATGATTTTTCATATTTGTTATGTTAGATTTATTTTGTAAACCTGTAGTTGTTATGGTATTAACTACTTGACAACAGGGTGTTTAACATTGAATAATCTTTTTCTTTTTTTTTTTTTTTTTTTATATTTTATAACAGCAAGAATTATTAAAACGTCGTGAAATGGAAATTAATAAACTACGTAAAGATTTAGAAAATGCTAATGCATCACTTGAATTAGCTGAAACATCAATGAGACGTCGACATCAAACAGCATTGAATGAATTAGCATTAGAAGTTGAAAATTTACAAAAACAAAAAGGAAAGTAAGTTATCTTGTTTAAATACTTATTTTGTTTTTTTGTTTGTTTAGTTTTGAAAAATAAAAGACATACAATACAGATCATAATGTTGTACAGACCATGTTTTAAGACATAGAAGGGAAGACAATGAGTGTATACACCTACACTATTGTAATCAATTCTGAACCATGTCACATACAATCTCCAAACATTGATTATGATAGTCACGTGGACGCCAACCAAGTAGTCTGCATCTACCAACACGACTCAGCCCAGAAGTTAGTAATTTCAATGACTGATGCCGTGTTTCAGCTTGTTCGCCCATAACTTTCTTCCAACCATCTCCAACACTCGTCAGTATTGCGCGTCGTAGTAATCGGTGTTCATGCATACGTAGCACGTAGTTCAACTATCTTAGTCGATGAAGATTCACCACCTCATCGATTGATGTACCATCATTCCCTAATACTTTGTGTCTAACCTCACTATTACTTACCCGGTGATACCAGCAGATGCGAGCAATATTTCTAAGGCATCTGTGGTACAATACTAGTAGCTTACGAGTATCTTCTACTCTTAATGGTCACGTTTCACAGCCGTAGAGTAGAACAGAACGAACAGCGGCACAGTATACTCGTCCCTTAATTGATAGACGGATATCTCGCCATCGCCATAGGTGACGTAAGTTGGCAAATGTCAAACGAGTTTTTCGAATCCGTGCTGAGATTTCGTCAGACACCAACCCATTAGGGCTGATCAGAATTCCGAGATAATTGAAGTTTTTGACGTGTTTGACTACTTCACTCCCTATCCTTAGTTCATGTATTGACGCAAGCCAGTCCTGAAGCAATAACTTGCATTTAGAGGGGGAGAAACGCATCCCAAACATTCTGACAATATTGCTCAGTGCTACTAAAAGACTCTGCATTTTATCAGCGTCTTCACTAAACAAGAAAATATCATTTGGCACAGAAAAGTACTACAGATGAATCTAACTGCGGAATGAAAGGCAAAGCAAAAATAAATACAGAATACAGAAACGTTTTTCCAATCATTCTGTCAGTGACTGTAATAGAATAGGGAATGTTACCTATTAGGGTGAAGAATAACACCTACTAGAGATATTACATGTTAATAACATACTAACCATTAGTAAATTTGAGGTTTTTCGAAGTATTAATAGGATATAATGTAATAAATAAACAAGTTATTCCAAGAGCTAAATAGTACACGATGTTGTTTGAACCGAACTGTACTGGGTTCGAGTCCCGGAGTGAATATCAATTCTTAAATGAAGGTATATCCATCTTACGAGTCCCAGATAGGACGAAACACGCGTCGTGGATTCTACTGCTAGCCAATATCCATATTTGCTTATAACATTTTAATTTATGGTGCTATTTGACCTTATTCTAGAATTTTCTGTTTCTAATGAACCATTCAACTGATAAAAAACCTTTTCTTTACTTTATATAGAGCTGAAAAAGACAAAAGTCACTTGATCATGGAAGTGGATAATGTTCTAGGACAATTAGATGGTGCGCTAAAAGCTAAGGTCAGTAAAATGATATGAAATATAATTGGCATTAAGTGATTTAGTGGTCCGGGATCTGACTGCAATTAGATCGTATAAATGATTATTGTCAGAATATACATCCTGGATATCCTTGTATATATTTATCGACTTGAATCACCTTAGGGAATAACGGAATTAAATAAATCGAATACGAGAATGGAGTTTTGATCACACATATTTCGTACACTCATTGATCTGGGTAAGCATTCAAAGGGACGAAGCGGAGAGAAGAGAGTGAGACGAAACGACATGCAGTGGAGAAGGCGTGTGAGCTAACTCCCTCTAATCTAGCATTAATCAATATTTATAGCCAGTTAAAAACAGGTTACAGACAATATGGTGAGTAGGATAAGAGTGCACACGCAAACATCCATCTAAAACCAGTCGATGTTAATAAGTGATTAATTAATAGGGTCTAAATGTAACTCAAGTAGAAGGAATAGATTGGCCTATCCAGAAGCTAGAATAAGGTATATGGTCTTAACAATAGTACCCGTCACCACACTGGATACTATGTTATAAATAAATTATTTACAATGGAAATGATCAATATTTGTAACAACTTAGTGTAGAAAACATGAATTTCTGATGTTTTGTGACCTCGTATTAGTCATTTATTATTATTATTATTATTATTATTATTATTATTATTATTATTATTATTATTATTATCTAAATAAGCGACTTACGTCAGCTCACAAAACATCAGGAAATCATCTCTGCACTCGTTGATAAATTACTGTAAGGACGGCCCATGGGTGAACTCAATGGAAGCTCTAAGAAGCTTGGAAGGTTCTAACGTTTGAATATTCTAGTTGTAATCAATATTCTTAAGAATCTATGCTCTAGATATAACAATTACAAGTACACCATTTTGATTGTCAATAAACATGGAGGTCTGTTTGAGAAGAGTCTCCATCTCATTCCCTTTAATTAGATACTTTCAAACTAAGTATATACGATGTGTACTATGGTAGTAGACTGTTAGTCACTTGCTAAATTCCAGAGATTACATCCTCAAGTATGAATATTAAGAGTAGTTTAAACCATTAAAATATGCTCTTCATAATCTAATAGATGCATAACAACTAAGTTTCTCCATGAATTCAATTAACAAAAAGAATTCAGCTACTTGAAAGTCATAACAATCTAACACTTGATACTTTCTGATAATTGAGTACTACACATAATATTTAGATGGAAATATCTATGATATATCTTTTTAAAATAAAAGAATTTGAAGGGATAATCAATTATATGTTGAAGGTTAGTAATCGTATTTATCGATAAACAACCAGAAAATATTTCCGGTTTAGATACTCCTGCTATGGTTTGAGCACTTCTACATCAGTTTGAGCACCCCTGTGTCAGTTCAAGCACCTGAACATTAGCATAGCCTATACACAAATCGAGTTATTTATTGATCAAATGTATTCTATGCATATGTTTTAAAGAACTCTAAAGCTATAAACATCTATGTAGTATTGTTCTGTTTTACTTTTAATTTTTTTATTTTTTTTATAGCAATCAGCTGAATCGAAATTAGAAGGATTGGATAGTCAATTAAATCGTTTAAAATCATTAACAGATGATTTACAAAGACAATTAACCGAATTAAATAATGCAAAATCAAGATTAACATCAGAAAATTTTGAATTATTACATATAAATCAAGATTATGAAGCGCAAATTTTAAATTATTCAAAAGCGAAATCATCACTTGAAAGTCAAGTTGATGATTTAAAACGATCTTTAGATGATGAAGCTAAAGTAAATACAAGTTTTATATTTATTTATTTATTTGTTTAAAGAATTCCTATTATTCACTTATATATATATATCATGAATATCATCTTGAAGTTTTAGATTGTTTCAGTAAGACTATAATTTATGAACGGACCAATCAGATCAAGGATAGCAGACCTCGGAGGCGAAACTACAATTTATGAACGAACCAATCAAATTGATGATAGTAGGTCTCAGAGGCGAGATTATAATTTATGGACGGACCAATCAGATCAAGGATAGCAGACCTCGGAGGCGAAACTACAATTTATGAACGAACCAATCAAATTGATGATAGTAGGTCTCAGAGGCGAGATTATAATTTATGGACGGACCAATCAGATCAAAGATAGCAGACCTCGGAGGCGAAACTACAATTTATGAACGAACCAATCAAATTGATGATAGTAGGTCTCAGAGGCGAGATTATAATTTATGAACGGACCAATCAGATCAAAGATAGCAGACCTCGGAGGCGAAACTACAATTTATGAACGAACCAATCAAATTGATGATAGTAGGTCTCAGATGCGAGATTATAATTTATGGACGGACCAATCAGATCAAAGATAGCAGACCTCGGAGGCGAAACTACAATTTATGAACGAACCAATCAAATTGATGATAGTAGGTCTCAGAGGCGAGATTATAATTTATGAACGGACCAATCAGATCAAAGATAGCAGACCTCGGAGGCGAAACTACAATTTATGAACGAACCAATCAAATTGATGATAGTAGGTCTCAGATGCGAGATTATAATTTATGGACGGACCAATCAGATCAAAGATAGCAGACCTCGGAGGCGAAACTACAATTTATGAACGAACCAATCAAATTGATGATAGTAGGTCTCAGAGGCGAGATTATAAATTGTGGACGGACCAATCAGATTAAGGATAGGTTTCGGAGGCGAGACTATAATTTACGGACGGACCAATCAGATTAAGGAGAGCAGGTCTCGAATTTTGACGGAAAATTCACTCATCCGTTTGGATAAATCGAGTTTCAGCATTATAACTGATGCTAGTTCGTGATGAAAAACCGTAAATCTAATTCCTAACACTAACCATCAACTGTAAATCATAATTCGAATTTCTCACATGGGTTTATAACCTTCATTGAGTACTGGTGGTTAGGTGGACAATATCAAGGTCAGTCTGGTGTCGCTCGAAGGTCGTCCATAAATTATAGTCTCATTTACAACTGAAATACAAAGATACACAAGTATACTGCATTGTACTATACACTCAATAAATTCCTTGATTGAGACTTCTACAAAGATAAAGTATGATAGAGATGTGTTAGGTTATCAATAGTCAATCGGTACTCCCTACCATGTGATATTTTGATCAACCACTGATCTGAAGCATTTCAAGCATGATGAATAAGTTTAGGATCAATTACATTGTAGATTTACTTGCATCTATCCCATGCACATGTACAAATACAGATGAAAACAACTAGTGTAGCAGCAGCCTCAATATACACAAAGGAAAAAAGCAAGATCCTCAAATAAAACACGAAGAAAACCAACTCAATCACACTTGATGATGAAATTCTGGAAGATGTGGATGCAGACGTAAAGGTGAGGATTGGCAAAGCAAGGGCCACATTCTTACGATTGAAGAACATATGGAACTGAAAACAACTATCAACCAATATCAAAGTAAATGTCTTCAATACGAACATCAAGACAGTTAGTTCTACTGTACGGAGCTGAAACTTGGAGAATTGTTACAACCATCATCAAAAAGGTATAATTATTTATAAATAGTTGTCTACGCAAGATACTGAATGTCCGTTGACCGGTTATTATCAGCAACAGCCTACTGTGGGAGAGAACAAATCAGCTTCCAACTGAAGTAGAAATTCGGAAAAGTTGTAAATGGATAGAACATAGGATATGATGCAGACATAAAGAAGACGATTATCAAAACAAGGACAGCATTTCCACAGTCGAAGAACATATGGAAGTCAAAACAACTCAAATGATAAATAACAACTGGAAAGGATTGCCCATGACACGGTTATATGGAGAGTCGTGGTGGGTGGCGTATGTTCCGTCACAAGGGTTGGTGACAGACATAAGTAAGTAAGTTTTACTGACTTGATTCACTTTTGTATTCATAATGATAAAAGTGTTGATCTATAATGTTGACTAAAAGGCATGTGTCTTCCAGATGAATATGTTTATTGATTATTGTTAAGGTGATACAGTACCACGAAGTTGTCAGTTCGAATTTCATACTAATTATTCCCAACTAAACCAAACATTATTTTCACTATTTTTTAATTCATCTTTCAGAATCGTTTCAATCTTCAAGCTCAGCTTACATCACTTCAAATGGATTATGATAATTTACAGGCTAAATATGATGAAGAAAGTGAAGAGGCCAGTAATTTGCGTAGTCAAGTATCTAAGTTCAACGCTGATATTGCTGCATTAAAATCTAAGTTTGAACGTGAAATTATGAGTAAAACAGAAGAATTCGAGGAAATGAAGTACGTTAAGCATTTTAACGATGATAAAATACTTTATATTGACTTGACTTATTTATTTATTTAAACATTTAAACATTGGTACAAGGTAGCACCAAATAGATATGAGCCATATAAATCATTCGACTTGTGTGTGGGCTGGGATACTGTGGGGATGCCCAGATCGAAGTAGGTGGTTTTCTTAGAGGGCCACAACAGGAACCTAAAAGTCTGGTCCACAAAGCAGTGGAGCAAGGTAAGAAGATGCAGTATCATGGTAGCTGGTGACCAACAATTTGTTCATACGTGATTTGTTCCTTCAGGATCGTGAAGCCCATGTACACCATTTTTTTGAAACCAGGGTTTTCCAACTCCCCTAAGTCTATCCTCCGTGTCCACCAACCCAGTTTGAGTGTTGGACATTTTCGTTTCGTCCTCTCAATTTCGTAGACAACATCCCTGCAGCGAGAAGGCAGTGAATAGGACTTCCCAGCTGACGAGTCCCAATTAGAAAGAAACGTACGTCCTGGATTCCACTTCTAGCCACTATTTATCTTTACTTTAAAAAAATCTTTTTTTCTCGTTTTAGGAGGAAATTAACTATGAGAATCACTGAACTTGAAGATACTGCAGAGAGAGAACGATTAAAAGCGGTATCATTAGAAAAACTTAAAACAAAGTTAACATTAGAAATTAAAGATTTACAATCCGAAATAGAAAGCGTAAGTTAGTTTTCAGTAAATGATTATTGTATTTGAACTTCTTATGATGTTTTAATTGGAATATAACTATCTTCGAATCAAAGATTGACAAATGTAGATTCGAATCACTGTGACATCAGTAGATCCTAGTGTTGCAAGTATGTTTAAGAAAGAAGTACTAAGAAACATGGAACGTTGGTTAAAACAAGCTGTTTAACAAATTATCTATAACTTTCATATATATGCAGGCATTTTAAGTTATATTTCAGTCTAACTTACTATAGAGTATTTATTTATTTGAACACGTAAATATTGGTAAAAGGGGCAACCGAATTCATATGCGCCACACAACTCACTTGATTTGTGTGTAGACTGTGGTACTTCCCGGGTGCCCAGACCAAAGCAGGTGGTTTTCTTAATGGGCAACACCTGGGGTCTTCGACCTAAAGCTCTATTCCGCAAGGCCATGAAGCAACATCAGAAGATACAGTACCACGGTAGTCGGTGACCAACGATTGGCTCATACGCCAATTGTTTCCTTAGGATCCTGCAGCTCATGTACACTATTGATTTGGAATGACGGTTTTCCAACTCCCCTAGGTGGATATTCCATATCCATCAACACGGTTAAAGCGTCGGACATTCACTTTTCATCCTCTCAATTTCTTAAACAACAGTAATGCCGCGAGAAGGCGATGAGTACGACTTCTCTGATAGTGGTTGTATACTCTTGGCCATGTGAGAGTATTTGGAGAGGGAGAGCTGAAAAAACAACTTTGGTTTTTCCATAATTCTGTAAACTACTGAGTAAATATGCTTTAGCTAAATCACAGTTTCAATGAACAAGGATATAAGCAAAAGTTGAACATTTAGAACAATAGTAACCATCTGAAGCCAACATAATAGTCATCTGATACAATGATATCTGACGGTTAATTGTATGCTACTTAACTGATTAGAATAATCAAATTGGTAAGGTAGGTATTTGTATTCAAAATAATTTAAAGGTAAGTTCTCTGTCGACTACCTTCAACCACCATCTAATCTCAACATAGTTCAAGCAATGCCGAGTCACATAGACTAGTGGCCACATTGCAGCTTGGCCAATAGCATTCGATCTGCACTAAGAAGGACTTGACACATATGACATTGATCATCACTCAGTGATCAATCAATTGTGATTACATCTCAGTTCTACAGGAGGTCGGTCGCGGCTCATATAGCCCAGTGGTAACGTCTCTGACTGTGAAGCTGAGTGACACGGGATCAAATCCATCAGGGAGCAACAGTTCCCTTAAGATTACAGGTAAATCTTGCTGACGAGTGCCAAGTAGCACGAAATCCGGGTCCAGAGTTTCCTGTCGACTACCTCCAACCAAAATCTAATGTCTAATTTGTTACTTAACATAAAATGGATTTAAATTCTGATATAATAACTCTCAGCTATAGCATTTACGAGATACTAATACACTATATTACTTGTTCACTAATCAATGAAGTAAACGCAAGTCACTTAGCAAAGAATATACTTTTTGAGATGGTGAAGATTTGTAGCTCAGGTGGATGATTTTGAAGGAGTTTTGTTCTCTGAACTGGATGGTTTAATCGTGGAGCTTTCATCGTTGTACCTGAAGTTTGTCCTGATGATGTCGTTCTGATGGACGATGAAAGCTCCACAACCAAACTATCCTGCTCAGAGAACAAAACTCCATCACAAAGAATATACGTTTCCGGAACAGTTGAAATAACTTTTTTTTAATGATCAGTGATAATTAAGGTAATCAAAGTGTTAAAGAAAATACCAAATTGAATAAATAATAACGGAAATCTAAAACGTTGAAAATTAAGCATTCACACACGAAACTGAAGATCATGGATTTATTTCTCGGTGGTTTGATCATAAATAGACACTGCTGAACAGTCTTATATTAAGTTAAACTGAACATCCAGTGCTTTCAGATTCTTAATTGTAGTCTAATTTAGATCAGTTCATTATTTCAATGAAATTTGACAATCTTGACCATTTCATACTGAAGATAAAAATTAGATTATGCTGAAATCACAGTACATTTCTAAGGTAGTCAAAATCAGTATTAGTAATTTTTATCAGTTCACATAACTTAAAGACATGTAATAAAAAAAATCCAGTTCAGTATATTCCTTACACTATTTCAAGTATCTCTAGGTTTTATCTTCTCATTTCTTCAGCAAATTAGATGACTCTTCCAGTCTCCCACATTGTACGAACATTCTATGTACCTAAATTAATGATTCCTCTGGTTTTCAGAAGGAACATCAGCCTTGTGACTTCCGAAGGAACTCGGCTTTGATCATGAGACGTCATAACGCTTCTAAATGAAGACCTTCTAACTCCTAAGGCAGGGTTTAAATGATTTGAATTATTTTTTCTTGTAAGCTTTTTTTGGCGATTTAGTTTTCTACAGGATGGGATCGCTAACCCCATGCCCAACCCTTCTCCTTTATCCGGGCTTGGGACCGGTAGTAGCCCCAGAAGGGCTCCAGATGGTCTTTTCTTACATTATATATTGCTTTTAGTGAAGTAGACAAATATTGAAATAATTTTCTAAGAATCTGGTTGCACTATTAAATGTAGCGCAATTTTAGTAAGAAAATATGTATCATGAAATGTACAACGGTGTGACGAACCAGCTAACTTCGAAGTCATACCTCGCGGTCAGTATCTATTGTGGATTACTCTTTCTACGTATCAAAGTAGTATAGCTGCTTTGAAGACCATATAACATAAAGGACGTTATTATGAAAATATATTAGTAAGAATGAGTACAAAGAAGATAGCGATATCACCACCGCATGGGCCAGTCTATGGCATACGATGAACTGATGCGCGTTGGTTGTTCTTGACCTTGACAAGGATCGATGATCTGCTCGATATTCACTGATCCAACTGCTGGATAATTTGGCTAGGTCTCAGCGACATTTCACTAACTTTACAGCATCATTATTTGAACCAAATCAGCAGTTAAATTCTTTTAGCACAGAAGTTAGTTATATCACAAATCTCAAACATGAAGAGAATATTGATATAAATTGATAACTAAACTTCATAGATTGATTGAATTATCAGCTTCTAAATCAAATTCCAACTCATTTTCATGCAAAAAATTAGCATCCCTTACATGGAAGTTCAACCTCATACGAGTAATTGGCTGTTTTTCCTTTTCCGCTTGTAATGTTCGTATTTCTCAATCATAAAGAATTACAATTCAAACTTTCACATAGGATATTAATGTTTCAAGATAAATTACCGTAGCTTGCCTACAAACAAGTTTTGTTGATTGATTAACCTTTTAAGTGGTAGCTTTACACATATACAACTTTTCTGGTTAGCATTTTTTGTTTTGTTTAGCGAGTTAGTTTTCTACGGGATAGGGTCGCTAACCCTATGCCCAACCCTTCTCCTTTATCCGAGCTTGGGACTGGCAGTAACTCTAGAAGAGTTGCAGGTGAAGTTACATATATTCACTTACTCTATTTCATTTCTAAGTCAATTATCTGGATAGCTAATCTGAAGAGTAATTCCTCAAACTTCTGGGATAAAAATAATATATCTAGAAGAATACACAAGTCTCAACTTATATTGTATATGCTCATTCCTGACCGTTGTTGCTACCTTGACGTGGTGGTCGGGCTTGCCTATCGTGATGAAGCAACTGAGCTATACTGGCTGGAACAACCGTTCCTCAAGGTCCTACCATGCCGGACAGGTCGGTTGAAGAGCGGTAAGACTAAAAGCAACAAAACCAAGGTCCGAAGGCGAAGTCGTACTGCTGACTGTACAGAGATGTGACAGCAGTAAGGTGTTTCCTTCAGACAACCAGCATGACAGCGATGCTGCCTTCCCACAAGGAGGGGTGGGGTTAGAAAAGGTCGACCCTAAGAATAAACACCTCGCCTTATCACACGGATATCCGTCTCCGGCGGTAAGGACTCAACAAGTACGGAGCTAACACAAAAATCACTCATAAAAAGGTCGTGTGTGACCGACCTCAAGCAGCTGTCCCTTGGGCACTGCGGTCACGCTCTCAGGTCACTATGACCAACTCTAATCCAATTTCCTTTTCAGGTACCTCCAGAAGAACCCTTCCACGGTGTGGGCAACCGGGAAGTGATAACCGCCCTCATACCTCTAACAGCACTCAAGACCACTGACTGATATGCTCATTGGATATACATTAATAGATCTACCCTCTTTCTCTTTATTTATATGTTTTTTTTAGCTTTCATTAGAAAATGGTGAATTAATTCGTCGAGCTAAAACTGCTGAATCATTAGCTTCTGAATTACAACGTCGTGTAGATGAACTTACAATTGAAGTGAATACATTAACATCACAAAATAGTCAATTAGAAGGTGAAAATCTTCGTTTAAAAAGTTTAGTGAATGATTTAACTGATAAAAATAATTCATTAGAACGTGAAAATCGTCAAATGAATGGTAAGTTATGATTATTATTATCATCATTATTAGTGGCTTTATTCAATGTTATACCTTTGGTACAATATTAGAATTCTTAGTACAAAGTTTCTGTTTCTTATTTCTTGATTGATCCTGTCGATAAATATTGAGTGTTTACCAGTTAAATGTCAACAGTTCAAAAATCGACATCTGAATCATGTTTATTCATTTTGATGCATATTCCCAAAAACCATGATATCACTGATTAGGCTCTTTTGTAACTTGTACAATGAAAGGTCGGACATATTTGAGAAACGTATCTGAATAGGTTATACAATTAATTGATATAATGATCTGTTGAAATATCCACATGACAGGAACAGGTAGCTCAGATAGTGAGTTTGTTCTTTTTACCTGAATACATTTCAAATAGTATAGTTGTTGTATATCACAAAAAATAAAATCTCAATCAGAATAAATGATGAAATGAATATAAATGCTTTTCTGTTAAATAAACAAGAGTTTCTGATAAGTCTTCTAATTGAACGCTAGATTCGGTTCCTAAGCAATTCCAGTAACCTTCCCCCCCCAGGCTAAGTCTACACAGAGAGTTGAACATGAAAAAAAGACGCAATGTTATAACGTGTGATCCGCCTATTAGAGAGCAGCCTATTATCGATCGAAACAGTGACGCACAAAATGCGACCGAGCAGCCTAGAGCTCTGATTGGTCCTGCTTCCCTGTCTAGCCCAGCTAATTGAGTCCAGAACACAAGTCTCAGCCTCGGAGATATGAATCATTATATTTCAAACATACTCTGTTTATATAGCAATCAAACAGACTACATCGTGCCATAAAATAGAAAGTAACATTTGTACAAGATTTAACCTTCAGGAAATGACACAAATAAATATTGACCAATAAGGAGATGACACGTTGGAAGAATGTTGACCAATGGGGAAATGACACTACTTCTCATTCAGGAATAGCATTAGATAATTTCTGGGGTATTTTCTGAATACCCCAACACGCGAAACATGGGAGGATTGGTTTACTCCAAAGGTTCGTTTATGAACAGAAAATCTAGGGTCTTTATAGTATTTTAGATGTCCTTGAGTTTCCGGAAAATTCCCGAAAGCTTCTAAACATAGTAGCAGTATATGTAATCATCTAATATGAAACTCGATATGTAACTTTTTCACTTTCTAGACGTTTCTGGTAAAACTTCTAGTGAATGCTGTTTGGATAAAATGCTTTTGAGTGTTTCCAGAAACATTTTTAGCTTTTTTCGAGGAGTTTTCTGGATCCCCCCCACCACCAACAGATACCAAATTAGGAATAATTTCATACAATTTGCATTAATAGTTGCGAAGTATTATGTCAGTTCGAGATTTTTCGTGGTGGACGCACAAAAATAGATAAAAAAACTTTAGAAATTGCCTCAAAATGGTTGAGTTCTTTTTCAGAATTCACGTATATCCGTGTTATCAGTTTGTTTACTAATAATTTCAGGTCAAAAGTTATAACAATCAAATTATTTTATAAGCAAAGATGGATAGTGACTAGCAGTGCAATCCAGTTTGAAGCGTGTGTCGTCCTATTTGGGACTGGTCAGCTGGATGTACCTGCATCTCAGAGTTGATGTTCACTGTGGGACTCGAACCTAGTACCGTCCGCTTCAAACGTCATCGCGTTATCCACTTAGCTACTGAGTCCTGATAGCCACTTGCTTGTGCAATCGGGTGAAGTTTAATTCACTTGATATTGTTTTATTTGAATCTTCCCATTGATGTTTAGCACTGCAATTGATCAGTCTCTCATATTGGCATATGTGCATACTGTGCGTATTGCCTCGATATTGCGTTAATTTACAAGCATTATAAGCAAAGATGGATAGTGACTAGCAGTGGAATGCAGTTTGATGTGCGTTTCGTCCTGTTTGGAACTCGTCGTCTGGATATACCTTCATCTGTGTTGATGTTCACTCTAGAACTTGAACCCAGTACCGTCCGCTTCAAATCCACTTAGCTACTAATTTACTTTTTTGTTTGTTTTTTTATTAACAACAAGACTCTCATTTTCTATTATCTAAATTTTGTTTTATTTTTTAATTAAGATCAAGTCAAAGAATTAAAAAGTTCACTTCGTGATGCTAATCGTCGTCTTACTGATTTAGAAGCATTAAGATCACAATTAGAAGCTGAAAGAGATAATCTTGCTTCAGCTTTACATGATGCTGAAGAAGCTTTACATGATATGGATCAAAAATATCAAGCTTCACAAGCTGCATTAAATCATTTGAAATCTGAAATGGAACAAAGGCTCAGAGAAAGAGATGAAGAATTAGAAAGTCTAAGGTAAGGTGTATTTGATAAATATGATTGATTGATTTGCATTAGTGTTTAAGACTTAATTGTTTCTATGACAACCATTCAGCTACTAGTTTTTGTTAACTATGAATTCTTTAACAGAACATTCAAAAGCTTTAAAAATGTTACTACTTTCTACTGATGTTAACTCTTGTCTCTATGGAAGCACAGACTTCCTGAAGTTTGTAGATGCACTTTAATGACAAGTATCAAAAAGCATGAAATATTTGTTAAGTAAAACTCCAATATAACTGTCGTTATTTAACATTGTAGATAACCAAGGAATGAGTAGTCATTATCGCATGATCATTAAACGTTTAAAGATGTCTTGATCGTGTGATTATTCTTTTATTTCATCCTGAAATATTTCACTGTCTCTTCTCTCCATACAGTACATAGCTGATATAAAAAGTCGTTCTTCTAGAATCATAGGATATGAGGTAACCGATACATTAGTTATGATCATCAACTAACCTTACATTTCTGTCCTATGAGAGTCCATTTACTTTATTACTGTTAAGATTGGGCGAGACTCTAATTTCAAGGTCACGTAGCCAAGTTTGACACCCGATGCTCACATATGATCGATTTACAGCGTATTTTAGAGAAGAGGTTATTATTGAGAGGCTACATGATATGCGACTACTAAAAAGTTCTTGTACGTGCGACTGTGGTTATCAAATGACCGCAGTAAATTGTGCAGACCACTGTGGTGAGATTATATTTCGTTGTTCTTCATGTTGGAGGAAAAATTCTGCTCGAACGGAGACTTTCTTCGCTCGATCGTGACTGAAACTGAGGCAGATTATGATAATAGTTGCAAATTAGGTAATAAAGACACCAGTAATACTGGCTGCGGCGTTTGCAGTTGTTGCTGAAGCTTTAGCAGTCCTGTGGTATGAGTACTGCCGTGACATATGTGCAACTAAAATAACACGTATACACCAATCATTCGGAGGAGTAGGATGTATCGTGCAGACAGATAAAACGGCAGTGAGAAAGCGAAAATACAACAGGGGACGTAGTATAAAGTAGGATTGTGTAAGTAGCATTTCCGTAAATATACTCGACAGATACTTGGAATTTATGACTTTTTATACAGTATGCAATATGATTTCAAAACATCTGAACCTTAAGCAAACCTTGACAAGTTTTTAAATCATGTAAAAGAAGTATAACCACTGTAGCCCATTAGTTTCTTCTAATATATTTCTACGTTATACTAGCTGTCTTATGATTGGCTAATATTCTCAAGGTCGCTTAAAATTTGCTCAAAGGTCGTCCCTAAATTAGAGTCTCGCCTTAAGATTGTTTTCAATTCAGTTATCTGAATCAATTAGATTTAATTTAAAAATTAAATTTATGAGTTAATTGAAGATAAACTATCATGAAAAATCTGAAAGCATTAGACAGCCGTTTCATCCTAGTATGTGACTCTTCAGCAGTGCACATCTACGATACCGCCTCGTGAGATTCGAACCCAGGACTTATCAATCTCGTGCGCCGTCTAGTGCTTCCAGGTTTTCCATGGTGGTATAGCTTCAATTGACTCATGATTTGAATTATTAAATTATTAAAATCTCCATAAAACTTTTATGATTATAATTTGATTTAATTGAATGCTGAATAAAGGTTCATTATCTGATAGTAATTCATTTCATCAGCTAATCGTATTTATCGTAACCTTAATTATACTACTGATTCGAATACAAAATTAGAGTATATCTTGGTAAAATCTGAGAACCATACAGTAAATATTTCATTTGCAAAATATCATTGTTATTTCTTTGCCACATGAATCGTTCTTTGTTCTCATTATCTTTCTTCGATCTTCTTAACCTTCTGACATCAGGCATTGCACTTTCGATTGACAATACATATTACTTATATCTGTCGACATTAGTAGCAAACACCAAACTTGTCCCTACTTTAAAGCTGTCGTTCTTGCGGTGATTCTGCTCGCCATACCACTCTCCGTCAAAATATCGAGTCCACGGCACGCTGACCTACATAGCTCAGTCGACCTTTTGGGTCACCATAATCCAATGTCCACCCAGCTTTCAAGACGTTCAACACCTTTATTTATTATTATTTATTATTTGAACATATAGATACTGGTACAAGGAGACACCAAATAGATATACGCCACATAAATCATTCCATTTGCGTGAGGGCTGGGATACTGCCTGGTTGCCCAAATCTGAAGCACGTGGTTTTCTTAGGAGATCACACCCCGAGCCTTTAACGTAAAGGTGTGATCCACATGGCAGTGTAGCAACTTAAGGAGATGCAGTCCCATGGTAGCTGGTCACCAACGATTAGTTCATATTCTATTTGTTCCTTCATAATCCTGTAGCCCATGTACACGATTGGTTTATAATCAGGGTCATCCAACTCTGATAGATAGACTCTCTCTGTTCATCAACTCGGTTAAAGCACCGGACGTTTAATACCTGAGCTTCAGCGACCTACTGAGCTATCTATATCTAATGTCCAGCCAGTAACCGCACATCTCACTGTTCTTTTCTATCGACAGCACCCACTACAGTCAACTTCACCCCGACAGAACACTCCACTAGATGTCACCTTCCAGCATCATACTGTCCTAACTAATACCTCAGATTCAAACCCGTAACAACATCCTCAGAACAGCACCCTTTCAATCTCCTAGTTGACAATGACACACAAACTATGTTAATAAACATCATGTTGATTAGAAACTATTTGTTTGTTTGTTTGTTTGTTTTACAGAAAAAGTACTACACGAACAATTGAAGAATTAACTGTTACAATTACTGAAATGGAAGTGAAATATAAATCAGAATTATCACGTTTAAAAAAACGTTATGAATCTAATATAGCTGAATTAGAAATTCAATTAGATACTGCTAATAAAGCAAATGCAAATCTTATGAAAGAGAATAAAAATTTATTACAACGTGTTAAAGATTTAGAAACATTTTTGGATGAAGAACGTCGTCTTCGTGAAGCAGCAGAAAATAATTTACAAGTATGTTAATCAAAATGTTTAAAATGTTTATATATACAACATTATATAATTAGATTAAATGCAATTATCAATGTGTGTGTGTGTGTGTGGGGGGGGTTATTTGATTGAGATCATGAATCGATTGATGTTAGACCATGATTGAATACTTGGAAGTAATAGATGTCTTATAAGCAAAGATGGATAGTGGCTAGCAGTGGAATCCAGTTTAACACGCGTTTCATTCTATTCGGGACTCGTCAGCTGGATGTACCTGCTTCTTAGAGTCGATGTTCACTGTGGGACTCGAACCCAGTACCGTCCGCTTCAAACGCCATCGCGTTATCCACTTACCTACTGAGTCCTGATAGCCACTTGCTTGTGCAATCGGGTGAAGTTTAATTCACTTGATATTGTTTTATTTGAATCTTCCCATTGATGTTTAGGACTGAAATTGATCAGTCTCTCATATTGGCATATGTGCATACTGTGTGCACAGGACGAAACGCGCGTCCTGGATTCCACTGCTAGCCACTATCCATCTTTGCTTATAAGACATCTATTACTTCCAAGTATTCAATCATGGTCTAACATCAATCGATTCATGATCTCAATCAAATAACCCCTCCACATTGATAATAAACAATATCAAGTGAATTAATAGATGTCTGTTTCATTCTAGTATGTGACTTATTAGCAATGTTAATTGGTGTCAGATAGATGCCGGCCATCTCAGTGGTCTACAAGTTAAGCGTTCGCGTACAAAACCGAAGGTCCTGGGTTCGAGTCTACCCATACGAGATCATGGATGCCCACTGCTGAGGTAGTCTAGTTTACATTGAATCATGGGTTCGATCATTAAATTAATCAAATATTCTGTATTAATCCAATCTTATTGTTTCACATTAAGACCTGAAATGTAAATGGCGATTAAATAATTTGTCAGTTACCGTTGAGTTAGTAGATTAAGTGTAGAAAAAGCTTAAGAAACGAGTTTTAAAACTAAGATAGATCTAAATAAAAGTTTCACTTGATATCAAGTTCTGCTGATGGTTGGAGTTTATTGAAAGATATACATCTTGAGTGGACTGTCTCTTAATGTGAACATAAACACTAGGAACCTGATTCATCAATCTGACAAGTTCAAAATAAGTTTAAATGGGTCATCTTGGATTTCACTATTAACTACAATTCAATTTTACTTATAACAATTCTGTTTGGTTACAAAAGTTCTATGTTTGAATCCCTCAGAACAACCAATTTTAACGTATACTTATTAATTTATTAGTAAAACACCAGAATCCTTAATTAATTTGATTACGCCTAAAAACTGTCCTGATACAGTCGAGAGTGAAAAGAGACTACTCTCCCTCCCGAAATGCTGTCACATGATCACAAGTATATACAACCACTGACAGGGAAGTCCTACTCACTGCCTTCTCACGACATTACTGTTTACGAAATTGAGAAGACGAAAGGTGAATATCCGGTGCTTTAATCGGGTTGGTGGACACGGAGAGTTCATGTAGAGGAGTTGTAAAACCTTCATTCCATATGGGCTCCATGATCCTAAGGAAACAAATGGCTTTTCAATCTATTGTTGATCACCGGCTTCTATAGGACTGCATCTCTTAACGTTTCTTCAATGCTTTGTGGATCATACCTCCTAAAAAAACCACTTGCTTCAATCTGGGCACCGGAGAAGTACCCCCCTCTTAAATACTGTCTAAATAACACCAGAGCTTAAAATCATTCTTCTTTAGTATCATCACTATATTTATTGATCCAAGTATCATAATTTACATCATTGATTGATCTAAATTGAACTATTATGATTGTTTAATCAATTTTTTTCTGAATATTATTTTAATATTTAGATTACTGAACATAAACGTTTACAATTAGCAAATGAACTTGAAGAAATACGTAGTACATTAGAAAATTTAGAACGTTTACGTAAACATGCTGAAACAGAACTTGAAGAAGCTCAATCACGTGTTAGTGAATTAACTATACAAGTGAATACATTAACTAATGATAAACGTCGTCTTGAAGGTGATATTAGTGTAATGCAAGCTGATATGGATGATGCTATTAATGCTAAACAGGTAAATTATTCTTATATTCTTGATAATATTTCTTTTGAAAAAAAAATACATGTATCAATAGAAGAAGATGATGAAATTGTCCAGATTTACCAAGATGTATTTTCAGAAGGGATTGTGTGGAAATTTTAGAAATCTCACTAGTTCAAATCATGAATCCAGTGGAGTTCAACCAGGTCTGTTGTGAGATATCAGCTCACTGAAGACAATGGTGTACGGTGGCGCAACTTCGTGGATTGGTTGAAGTTAGACATTAACACCGTTGAATGCTGGCTCAGTGGTCTAGTTGGTTAAGCGCCTGGCGCGAGACTGATAGGTCCTGGGTTCGAATCTCGCAAGGAGCGGGATCGTGGATGCGCACTGCTGAGGAGTCCCATGCTAGGACGAAACGGCCGTCCAGTGCTTCCAGGTTTTCCATGGTGGTCTAGCTTCAATGGATTCATGATTTCAACCAGTCAAGATGTATTTGTATTAGATTATTGTTAGTAATCATAGTGTTTTGATTGATTGACTCTTTTTACATCCAGATTTTCTATATATTATTATGATATTATTAACATCAAAACATATATTTTTGTGTTATTGCATTGTTGAAAACGTTAGATCCCTAGAACTCATTTGGAAAAGATCTTTGACTGTCATTGGTTGACGGAATTTTTTTTAGTATGCTATTTTGTGGCTCTCCTAAAAGTGTTTCTTTCATTGTATAAATAAGCTTGATTTATGTGATTGGTGATCTCATATTTTCTGGGTGCTTGTAGAATACATTCTCTACGCCTCATCAAGACTTCTTGATCTAGTTAGTAGGGCTGGGAAAAACGGATTAGAATAGATTGTCATGTCACTGTATCTTTGATCTTCGTTCAGTTTACTGAGTAAGGTGAACTCGTAATAGCATTCAAGCATATCATGCATTTTCTTAGTAACAGAGTATAACTGAGAAACTTTCATTGTCATGCTGGACAACATCAACATCAATGCGTACTTCATGTAGAAGTTAGATTCTTAGTTATTCTATGAATCTTAAATTAGTTTATCCTTATGGTCTTAATTATGATTGACTATCATTGAAAGTTTTATTATCGTTATCAGTTCTTAAAATCAAGTGCTGGTCCATTGACGGATCTTTTTTGAAAGTTGAATTTATGAGTTAATTGAAGATAGAACAACATGGAAAACCTGAAAGTATTGGATAGACGTTTCGTCCTACTATGCGATTCCTCATTAGTGCACATCTACAATCCCATCCCGTGAGGTTCGAACTCAGGACCTATCAGTCTCTCACGTGAACGACTAACAACTAGACCACTGAGATGGCCGGCATTCAACGGTGTTAACGTCTAACTTCAACCAATCCTGGAAATTGCGCCACCATCTATTATTGTCTTAAGTGAGTTACAGTCTCACAATAGACTCGGTTGAACTCCACTGGTCACACCTCACTAGAACTTCAAGAATCACTACTTAGAGACCTTGAAAGACTGATAGATCCTAGGTTTGGATCTCGCGAAGCAGGATCGTGAATGTGCACTGCAGAGGAGTCCTATAGTAGGACGAAATAGCCGTCCAGTGATTCCAGGTTATCCATTACGGTCTAGGTTCAGCTGACTCATGAAGTCAACCATTAAATTGCTATAATATCCACAAAAATCCTTCTCTGGATATTTATTGTTTTCAAACATGAAATGAATGTTTGAAACAAATGGAAAACGTTTGATTCGTTTTGAACCCTAAGACGTTGTTTAACCGAACATTTTGTAGTTCATAATGTGTAAGGATAAATTAGGTTAATTTTAGAGTATTTTCATAATATGAACTACTAAAGCTGTGATTAGGATCTATTAATGGTAAACTTTAAATATGTATTTAATTTCGAAAAATTCAAAATATTAAAGACAATTATTGTTTAGTTAAACACATAAACATAAGTGCAAGAAGGAAACAAATAGATATGCGCCACATCAATCATTCCATTTGCGTGAAGGCTGGGATACTGCCTGGTTGCCCAAATCTGAAGCACGTGGTTTTCTTAGGAGACCACACCCCGAGTCTTTGGCGTAAAGGTGTGATCCACATGGTAGTGTAGCAACGTAAGGAGATGCAGTTCTATGGTAGTCGGTGACCAACGATTGGTTCATATTCTATTTGTTCCTTCATGATCCTGTAGCCCATGTACACGATTGGTTTATAATCAGAGTTTTCCAACTCTGCTAGATAGACTCTCCCTTTCCATCAACTCGGTTAAAGCGCCGGACATTCGCCTTTTGTTCTCTTAATTTCGTAAACAACAGTAATGCTGCGAGAATGCAGTGAACAAAACTGGTGTAGCAGTAGCTGTATACCCGTGGCCATGTGAGAGCATTTGGAGAGTGGTCTCTCCTCACTCTCGTCCGTACCAGGGCATTTGAGGGCAAAATATAACGCAATGACGAAGGTGGTCCATTCAGCACACCGATTAGGTAGACCACAAAGTGATTTGTGTATATGGCGAAGTAACCACCCTCATGGAATTTAAAACATTAAAGATGATATATGACAGAATATTAATAATTTAATACTACTTGACTGAACTCATCAAAGACAATCATAAACATAGAAGATCATAGATCTAATCTTCGAAAGTGTTCATAGAACAAGTTTTTTTCGAGTCCCAAATTTAGTGAAAATCAATAATCACAACACATAAAACTTTCTACTAATCTAATATTATTTTTATTTATCTAGGCTTCTGAAGATAGAGCAACTAGATTAAATAATGAAGTTCTACGTTTAGCAGATGAACTACGCCAAGAACAAGAAAATTATAAACATGCTGAAGCTTTAAGAAAACAACTTGAAATTGAAATTCGTGAGATTACAGTAAAATTAGAAGAAGCTGAAGCATTTGCTACTCGTGAAGGTCGTCGTATGGTTCAAAAATTACAGGTGAATTAATGTTGTATTTTTTTTCTCCCTCTCTCTCTCTCACACACACACAAATTACACTTTATTTTAACAATATAAAGTTATGGAAACCATTGAGGTTAAGTGTTCCTGTGTGAAACCGAAGAACTTGAGTTCGAATCTTGCAAGTTGAATCGTGAATGCCTGCTATTGAAGAGTCTTACAATAGAACGAAACGGCCATCCAATGCATCCAGGTTTTCAATGATGGTCTAACATCAAGCAATTCATGATCTTAATCAAAAACGTTATTTTAATGTTAATAATATCTTTGGATAACTATAAAGTCATATCATTCTAAATGTTTATATCTATTGCTTTAAAACAACATGAAGACAGAGTAAATTAGCTTATTTTCTTTAATATCTTTACTCTTTATACCTAACATGTTTTAAACACATAAACAGAGATATACAGTATAGATGTTAAAATGACAAATTGAATTGGTTTAATTTGTCTTAATTAAGAACAAATAGCCCAAGTACAGAAAAGATGTTAAAATGAAGACGAGAAAGATATGTATTAGTTAACATGAAGAATAAGGATTTCCACCATAATGAAGACTAACAACAATCTCTATTCTTGTAATTAGTTGATATTAACTAGAAGAATATAAAGAGTGCTTTATCTATCGAAATATTCTTGATCAAGACAATTATATGAAACAATTCAGAAAGATTCTCTTGGTAGTGATATGTCAATATCTTATGAAACACCTATCCTGTTAATCTGATTAGCGTTTATTTAGCGAGTTAGTTTTCAACGTGATGAGGTTGCTAACCTCATACCCAATCCTCCTCATTTATCCCGGCTTGCGACCGGCAGTAGCCCAGAAGGGGCTCCAGGAGAAGTGTTACAAGTGTTTATTAACAGATGTCTACGCAAAATACTTAGAATGCGTTGGCCAGTCACTAACAGCAACAACCTATTATGGAAGAGAATAAACCAGATTCCAGCAGGGGAAGAAACCAGAAAGAAGCGCTGGACACACATTGAGGAAAGCACCCAACTACGTCACAAGTTCTCACATAGAATCCTCAAGACTAAAGAGAAAGAGAAAGACAAAAGAACACATTACGCCGAGAAATGGAGACAGATATGAGAAAAATGAACAACAAATGGATAGAACTAGAAAGGAAGACAAAGGATAGAGTGGGTTGAAGAATGCTGGTCAGCGACCTATGCTCCATTGGGAGTAACAGGCTCAATCAAGTATTCTGCTAACCACTTTCTAATGTATAAACAACAGTTAACAATTTTATAGGCAATGTAAGAGCCAAAATAAAAACCTTAGAAGACTGAACTCTTGATTTCATATCATTTACATTAGGTAAACTTTTTGTTGAACCTTCTGAATCAGAAAACTTATCCTGATATAATGAGATACTATGTACTTAGTAACATATATTTCGGATCTCTTAGCTTAACCTGACACGATATAGTTATCATATTTCTGTATTGGCAGGTTAACATTCATTTAAGGTTACTTCAGAATATTAAATTTTGTCTAATTATTATGTAATGAATGAATGTAATGAAGTGTATAACCAAATTAAAATCTACCTCTGAGATTATTGATATCTTTTAATATTCTATTTATCTATATTATAGGCACGTGTACGTGAACTTGAAGCAGAATTTGATGGTGAATCAAGAAGATGTAAAGATGCATTAGCTCAAGCACGTAAATTTGAACGTCAATATAAAGAATTACAAACACAAGCTGAAGATGATCGTCGTATGGTACTAGAACTTCAAGATTTATTAGATAAAACTCAAATGAAAATGAAAGCATATAAACGTCAATTGGAAGAAATGGTAAGTGATTTAAATATTTCAATGAATAGTCTTATGATTAAAATGTTTTATTTATTTTATTAAAAGATTAATAAATATTATAATTAGAGATGGGTTTTGTGAATATTATAGTGAGACTGATAGGTTCGGGGTTCGAATCTTACGAGGAGGAATCGTGAGTGCGAACTGCTGAAGAGTCCCACGGTAGGACGAAACAGCCGTACAGTACCTTCTGGTTTTCCATGGTGGTCTAGATTCAATTGATTCATGATCTCAGCGATTGAAATTACTATAATATCCACAAAAACCTCTTGTGATACTAATCAGCATATGCTCACTAATGAAGGTCTCTAAAAGGTAATTCCTGGAGTTCTAATAAGAAGCAGTGACCAGTGGAATTTAACCGGGTCTGTTCTGACATAGTAATTCGCTTAAGACAATGGTGAACGGTGGTGCGATTTCATGGATTGCTGAAGTTAGACATTAACACCGTTGGATGTTGGCCATCTCAGTGGTCTAGTTGTTAGTCGTTCACGTGAGAGACTGATAGGTCCTGATTTCGAACCTCACGAGGTGGAATTGTAGATGTGCACTATTGAGGAATCGCATACTAGGACGAAACGTCTATCCAGTACTTCCAGGTTTCCTATGCTGGTGCAGCTTCAATTGAATCATGAATTCAACAATTAAAAATTAATAAATATACTTAACTGTTTTTCTAATTACAGGAAGAAGTTTCACAAATTACAATGAACAAATATCGTAAAGCACAACAACAAATTGAAGAAGCTGAACATCGTGCAGATATGGCTGAACGTACAGTAACTGTACGTCGTGTTGGTCCAGGTGGACGTGCTGTTTCCGTAGCACGTGAATTATCTGTTACTTCAAATAGAGGAATGAGAGCAACAAGTATGATGTAAAGCACTTAAATAATAATGCACACACACACACACACGCCTATATGTTTCTATTTTCGTTTTCCTCATCTTCGCTTCGTTTAGCCAATAATATCTATCTAATGAGGAAATTATCAATAATGACTTATTATTATTATTATTATTAATTACTATCCAATGTGCTTTACTTCATTTCCACCCCCCCTAAATCTCCTCGATATGTTGCTGTTGTTGTTGGTGGTTTTTTCCTTTTTCTTTCTTTCTCTTTTTTAAAGTCCTAAAGTGAAAGACGAAAAAGAAAAAAACAGAACGGTTTCAGAGAAAAAAACTGAAACTAAACTACTACTACTACTGGTACTACTACTACTACTGATAAACAATAAGTATTTTATTTGTTTATAACTAGCTTACAAATAACCTAGGCATGAATTGTTTTGTTTGTTTTTTCTTTATTATTGACAATTATTGTCTGTTTGAAACAACAACAACAACAACAACAACAACAAGAACAACAAACACTGTTACCCTGGTTACTATCTCTATTATTAGCATAAATAATAATAACAACCAATTCTTAATTGCTATTTTCCCTTCAACTAATTCATTTGAAATTTCGTTCCAATATTTCAAAAAATTGGATGATTTTAATATTCAATGAAAAACAAACAAACAAACAAACAGACAAACAAACCAGTATGTATTGATTACTCTTTTTTTGTTTTGTTTTGTTTTGTTTTACCTTTTTTTCTTCAAACAAATAATAATCATCATTTCAAATTCATCTGTATTATTAAATGATCAAGGAATGATTTTAAAACATATAGTTACTTGAATATTCTTTCCATCATTGGAATAAATGAATAAGAAAATAGTTATATAATAATTGTTTGTTTTATTATTTCAATCAAATGAAATGTTTTCATAATAAACAAATAAACAAACAAACAAAAAAAAAAGAAAAAAAACAGGGAAAAGAAAAAAAGATTCAAATAAATTAAACATCAATAATCAAGATAGTAACTATCAATTACACACACATATATAAAAGGTTAATTCTATTTATCTTTCAAAATGGTTACTGTTCTTATTATCACTTATTATTATTATTATTATGATTGATTATCGATTATTGATTATTCTTTCTTTTGGTTGTTGTTTCATTGGTTATTCTTTTACAAATTACAAAAATTGATTCCTTGTTTTACGCTTCATTTCTTTCTCTCTATTTTGCCTCCCCCCCTACATACATACCTACCCACATACCTACATACCTACATACATACACACATATATACATACATACAAGCGAACTGAAAATTATCAGGAAAATTATTATTTATGTCATGTACAACTAAAATAGTTATTGCTTTTGACCTTGTTAGTTTGTGTGTTTTCTTTTTTAAATAAAAAAATATTTTTACCAATTTGTTTACTCTTCTCACATTTTCTCTTTCTTTTTCTTCTTCTTCTTCTTCTTCTTCTTCTTCTATGTCCTTTTATTCTTTCATTTATTGTACTATTCATATTACTACTATCGTTATTACTATTATTATTATTATTACCTAACCAATGGTTTGAACTACGAATATTTCCCATATTTCTAAAGAAATAAAGTAAAACCTTTCAAAAACAAGTATCTGTGCAATCGTAATAGATAATCTTTATTTATTGATTAGATCCTTTGTTGTTTTATTTTCATCAATTCTTTAGATACTATTACTATACTACTACTAATGAAGATAAGTAGTATTTTCACTTTATATTAAATAGGAATTAGATAGATATTATTCATTCATAGTCAATTGGATTTAGATCAAATAGATTGGAAAGAACAAACAAACATTTGTATGTGGGTTGTTTATTTAATGTATGTATGTATATGATATTGATTATGTAAGGGTATACGTTGGCGTTTTGTACATCTCAATTACGTAATCTTTTTAACAGTAAAAAAAGAAAAGAAATTAAGAACATCAGTTGCAAGTATATTACAAATTACTACAGTGAATCGTCTAATATTCTGTTAATTTCTTTTCGTTATTCAACGGCTTTATTCAATGGTTGTTTATTTTAGATACGCTAATAATTGTTTTGCATTAAATAATGAACAAGTGAAAAGTTATACCGGATCACTATAGATCATATTGGTATCAAACATTGAAATCAATAACTTTTGATCTGAGCCATGTTGGTAGATGCAGACTACTTGATTAGGGTCCGCGTGACTATTGTGAACAATGGTTGGAGACTGTGGGTGACATGGCTCAGAATCGATCACAATGGTGTAGGTGTATACACTCTTTATCTTCCCTTAAACTATGAGATTAAAATTTCATTATATCTTTCTTTCTTCGTGTACTGTATCCTTATACACGATCTTTCTTTCATGTATTACTACCATTGAAGTGTCTACTTTTATGAATTTGGTGTTCATCTTGTTGTACTAATGAGGCATGGCAGCTTGGATCGATGCATATATTTGCCTGGTCCTACGTTGTAGTTGACTAACTGGCATTGGACTATGGTGTTTACAATAAATTAAAAGAATAACTTCTGTGAGATATCACAGTAGGAAAAAAGGGAATGAACTAGATAAACATTGATAAAGATATTTTATTGAAGGTTCCGTCGTGAATTTTCATATCATCTTAGTATTTTCATCGGTACAAAGGGGCACTGAATACCTATGCACCACACAACTCACTTGATTTGTGTGTGGGCTGTGATACTATACCGGTGCCCAGACTGAACCAGATGGTTTTCTTAGGTTGCCAAACTCGGAGTCTTTGACCTTAAGGTCTGATTCATAAGGCAGTGGAGCAACGTCAGAAGATCCAGTCCCATGGTAACCGGTGTCCAACAACTGGTTCAAGATCCTAGACCTCATGTGCATCATTAGTTTGAAACCAGGGTTTTCCAACTCTGATTTATATGATATAATTCACTATGTGTACATCAATTTATCTATCAGTAGTTCTCTTTGAACCTGATTCAGACGTTTAAATAGATACTTTCTCATATGAGCCTCAAATTCCAAACTAATAGTTACTAAGAGTCGGAAATACTTATAATAAGTGTTGGTTATACTCAAATTTACTCAAAAAAATGGAGGGAAGCTAATTAAGCAAACAGTTATTATAGGATATCGTACGAATGCTTCATAATATAATCAATTAATTTTTAATATCAGAAGGGATTTTGTTGATATTATAGTAATTTCAATAGTTGAGATTATGAGTCAATTAAAGCTAGACCACCATGTAAAACCTGGAAGCACTGGACTGCTGTTTCGTCCTGTCGTGGGACTCTTCAGCAGTGTGCATCCACGATCCTTCCTATCAAGATTCGAACCTCGGACCTATCAGTCTCGTGCGCGAGCGCTTAACCATTATATTAAATTATGAATCCTATAACTGTGTTTAGGAATTTGGAACTTTTCATTCAAATATTCTTAAGATCTAATATACCATACCTATTCCTTTCAACACATTTCAAACGTAATCACTAATCTACAGAATTACGATAAAATTATCCCACTCATCTTTCATCTCTGTTTTCCTCAAGTCAAATTTTATTAAATGTTATAACCGAATAGTCTAATGAGTTATATTTAAGTTTTCTAATCACTGTTAGGCAATTAATATCATTATATTCACATACAAGATTCGTAAATCCTAAATAGAACAAAGTAAACATCGTGTTTCATTATGCTCTCCTGAGGATAGAGATCTTTTCTAATCCACTCTAATTCTTAATTGATCTTCTACTGAATCGAATGTACCTAAACATAAAATGACAGAACATCTTATTAAAATCTGAAAATCATACAGTAAATACTTCATTTACAAAATGTCAATCCTTTATATATCTGTTTCTATTTCCCAGCGTAATGTGCTCTTTGGCCTTCCTCTTTTCTGCTTCCCTTCAGGATTTCTAATTAAAGCTTACCTCGTGATGCAGTTTGGTGATTTCCGTAATGTATGTCCTATCTACTTACAATGTCTTTTTCTAATTTCCTCTTCATCTGGAAGTTGATTTGTTCACTCCCACAGTGGGCTGTTGCTGATGGTATCCGGCCAATGGATGTTGAATATCTTGAGTAGACAATTATTTATAAATACTTGTATCTTCTTGATGATGATTGTGGAAGTTATCCACATCTCAGCTCCCTACAATATAACTAAATGTTTTGATGTTCGTATTGAAGATTGTGACTTTGATATTGGTTGACAGTTGTTTTGAGTTGTATATGTTGTTCAATTGTAGGAATGCAGTCCTTGCTTTGCCAATCCTCTCCTTTATGTCTGCATCAGATCCTCCTTGTTCATCGATGATGCTTCCCAGGTAAGTGAAGGATATTTAATATTTTGGAATAACCTCTATTATAAAATTAATTGAAAGTATGCCTAACGTTATATTGTAATTTTTCTTTCATCCTTGACTGACTGGGCAATACTTGACACGTCTTCGGGATGATGGAGGGTCGTAAAAAACTTGACATTTTTCATGTAAGCCAGTAAGAACGACAGAAAACGAAACACTCTCTTCATCATGAATAACGATAGTCTAAATAATAATTCCTTCATTTTATCAGGTTGCCAGGTCCAAAGTCAAAAGTGCGAACAAGAGTATAGCCTATCCTCAATCGACACATCTACATGAAGGTATCATCCAGTCATGTCGAAACATTATCGCGGTAATGTCTTCAATACACTGCACAAGCATTCTAATCAAGGTATTCGAACAACTATCAAGCTCATAGCAGGATTTTGTTGGTCTGATATGGATAAATACTTAAGGGAGTGGGTATGATCCTGTGTCACCTGCCAAAAATTTAGGGTGATTGGGAAGAGCAGATGTCCATTAGGATCTTCCGAAACTTCACACTCTTTTTTACCATATTCATCTGGATTTGATAAGACACTTACCAGTTTAAAATGGACATTCTCACCTCTTAACGTGGACGAACCATTTCGCATGATAGTCAAAAGCAGTACCTATCAAGGGAATTTCTGCTGAAACAGTGGACCGCACCTTTATCGAACGATGAGTAACAAATTTTGGCTTCTCTTCAACTGTCGCTTCAGATTTTGAATAACAATTTAGACCGCACTTTTCTGTTGTCTCGGTACACTATTAGGAATCAAGCGACTCCGAACGACCGCCTACCGCCCACAGGCTAACGGGTCGGTAGAACATTTTCACCAACAGTTGAAAGCTTCACTCTCGGATGCAAGTATATCAAAGCGGACTGACGCTATTTCACTGGTGTTACTCGGTATTCAGAATTCAGTGAATGTTGACGTTGAATACACTACGGTACTAATTATTTACGGAATGGCACTCCAACTTCTAGTTCAATTCGTAGATCCTTCATCTTCACTGAATATGGGTCTAAACTCTTACACAAGCAGGTTTACAAACACTATGCATTTGGCTAAACCTGTGTCCTATCGATCGCGATCAACTGATGCTTTTGTCCAACCCACCATACGACTTAGCATTCACATTTTTATTTGTCGCGATTCACTACGCTGACCTGTTGAAACTATATACGAGGGACGCATTAAAGTCCTTCATTCTAAATCTAAATACTATGACCGATATAAACGAAACTAACGATAATGTTAGCACTGACCATCTTAAAGCCACTTGCCTAGAGGGAAACCATAACTATGTTGATTTTCCTCCCAAACAATTGAACGATACTAGCCTTATAATTACAGTGCCATCCCCGATAATTGACGACAACGACGAAAGTTTTCTAGTATCTAATATGTCTCAAAACAACGGGTGTAATCATTCAATAATCACTTGTCAATAGTGCATTGTTGTAATTTGATTAGTTGATACTTAATGCCGACTTGGCTTTTGAGATGTAAAAAACTATCATTCGACTTGGAACAGTGAATATTTAGCCTACAGATAAAATTAGCGGATTGTTGTTGAAAATTAATGAAAATGGTAATACCGTATTTTTATAGCTAACGAGATCTGTTAAATCTTATGAATTATTCACCTATATAATTGACCACAATTTTCAAGGCTTGCCAGTACTATTCATTAGTCGAAAAACTGAAGTTATACAATCCTTGTTAATATTGTAATTCATTCATCTAGCCAAGTAAACGTACTATATATACTCCAATATATATCATTAATGTTGCTTGATTACTTAATTGCATAGAGCACTACTTGTCCAACATCAGGTTTTCAGTAAAAAAAAATGACTAAATCCTATCTTATGATTGAATTCACGAGTTAATTAAAGCTAGACCACCATGGAAAACCTGGAAGCACTGGATGACCGCTCCATTATAGTATGGGACTCTTCAGCAGTGTGCATCCACTATTCCGCTCGTAGGATTCGAAACCAGAACCTATCGGTCTTGCGCGCGAACGCTTAACCTCTAGATCATTAAACTGGTACCCAACGGTGTTAATGTCTAACTTCAACCAATCCACGAATATTTACAACTGAAGAACATCTGGAACTCAAAACAATTGGCAACCAACACCAAAGTCAGAATTTTCAATACAGATGTCAACACCGTTCTACTGTATGGGGCGGAAACCTGGAGAACTACGTAAGCCATCATCCAGAAGATACAAGTGTTTATTAATAGATGTCTACGCAAAATACTTAGAATCCGTTGGTCAGACACTAACAGCATCAACCTATTAGTGGAAAAAACTAACCGGATTCCAGTGAGGGAAGAAATCAGAAAGAAGCACTGCAAGTGGATAGGATACACATTGAGGAAAGCACCCACTTGTGTCACAAGGCAAACCCTCACATGGAATCCTCAAGGTCAAAGGAGGAGGAGAGGAAGACCAAAGAACATATTACGCCGAGAAATGGAGACAGATATGAGAAAAATGAACAACAATTGGACGGAACTAGAAAGGTAGACCCAGGACAGAGTGGGTTGGAAAATGCGGGACAGTGGCCTATACTTCATTGGGAGTAACAGGTGTAAGTAATCATCTGGTTGAACATTTTACGGTCAGTATCATATAAATTTATATAGGCATATCATGTTTTCTTATTCTTATTATTATTCCAATCCCATTCATGTACTTTGATAGATATTCTATGAATTTATCCTTTAATTAGTGAAATAACTGTTTGCTATGAAAACAATATCAATCCAATTAATGTATGAATAGTGTATACCATATACTATTGACCTAATTAACTGGCATTATAGAAATTATACTTTAATAGATCAGTTAAATGTTGAAAGAATACTTCAAGTAAAACAAAAGTATTTCTCTTATTAAGTTTATCATTTAAATTTAAACAAACACTATATTATTGACCTATAATCCATTTAAATTATGCTTGACAGAATAAGTAAACATTTGTTTACAGTTGATATTTATGAAAAATGAATTGAATAAAGATCATACTACTATTCTTTTTTTTTTTTGTAAACTTTCAATTTTCACTCAGTTACAAATATTGTTTGTTTGTTTAGTTTGAAAGGAAGAAGAAATTTCTTCCCATACATTGTAGAATATTTGTTTAGGTTATGTTCAAACTGTTATTAGTTTGAACACATAAATATTGGTGGGCTGTAATACTGCTCTGGTACCTAAACCGAAATAGGTGGTTTTCTTAAGGGGCCCCACATTCCAAACCTTTAACCTAAAGGTCTGATCCACAAGGCAATGGAATAACGTTACGAGATGCAGTCTCATGGTAGCCGGTTACTAACGATTAGTTCATACGACATTTGTTCCTTCAGGCTCGTGGAGCCTATGTGCACCATTGATATGGAATCAGGGTTTTGCAACTCTTCTAGGTGGATTATCCATATCCACCAACCACGTTAATACGTCGGACATTCGCTTTTGTTCTCTCAATTTCGTAAACAACACTTCCGGTACAAGAAGGCAGTGATTAGGGCTTCCCTGATAGTGATTGTATACGTGTGGCCATGTGAGAGAATTTGGAGAGGGAGAGCTAACTCTCTCCAGCCTCGACCGTTTGGGGGCATGTTGAAACTAACATCGACTAAACCTTTGTAATGAACTAAGCAATATTGACCCTAAAAATTCGGCTGAAACTGAGGATAAGGTTAATGGTATGAAACGAGATTTATGACAAATAATTGTTTTCTATTGTGATATTTTTTGTAAGAACTGTAGAAGGAATTTTATTAAAAAAATAAATGTGGAAGATCCCAATAACTTTTCAAAAATTTATCATGAAAGTACTCATTGATGCATTTTTTTTTCTTGTGCCTAAACATTCTTCATAGAGGTATAACTAATTATAGTTAAGCTACAGTTATACTTTAAATTTCATTGAATATACCGAAAAAATGATAAACAACACTGTGAACGAAAATATCACTTTGCACTTATTCCACATACACTTAGTGTTCATTATTCAATTCCAAGTAAAATCTGTACTGATCGACACAAGTGAATAAATAATGCAAAGTAATTTTATGCATTACATGTTTATCTATTAAATATTCATAACTATGTATGACGAATATCACTTTGTGGTGTGTGCTACTAATATCGATATATATATATATATATATATATATATATATATATATATATATATATATATATATATATATATATATACATTCGATTGTCCCCAGTTGTGTTCTCGTTCATTACAACTTTACCAATCAAGGGAACAGGATATTTGCTCATCGGTGAATCCTGCTGTGGCTGGCACCAACAAGTATTATAGTTATACATTCTGTATAATCGGTAACAATACTGTAGCATATTTTCTTGTTGATACAGGCGCAACCAGTGTTAACAACTCGAATCTGTGAAATATAGGTACTATTTTCCTGAAACCTATTTCAAAACTATATGTCGGAACCCTAAATATTTGAATACTATGCCAAATCAGACAAGTTTCATTAGCTAAGACTGGAATCTCGTGTCACCTATCTATGCTGTCTCCGAATCCTGTATACAAGATCCCAGCAGGGTCACCCACTTGAGAGTACAGAGATCCAGCAAGACTCACCCTTCGTTTATTTCAAAGGCAAAATAGCTACTTTTCATGTCTCTAACAGTATAAATCTGACATTAAGTTTGGAAATAAAACAAGTAACACTTTTTTCCAGCAGTTATTTGGGTAATGTCCGATTAAATGGTACAGTAAGAACTCAAGAATACCCTTTAAAATGTTTTTCATCAATAGCTTCTACACCTTTCATCTATCTGTACCAGTTTTCGCACAGTTGACTTGACCACAATAGGTCGCATTTACAACGTTTCCATTTGAACAGCTTTGCTATATGATTATCGAACCTAGTCTACCTAAAATGGGTATGTACTACTCAATGTTGTCATGTTGAAAAGTTATATTGGCTTTCGTAGTGCACAGAACTTACCGATCTAAGTAATGGTCAGTGGAAAACAGTTAGTTGTATTATATTGGAGCTCATTTGTTCATTAAAACAACTGTGGATAGAATTTTAGTGATCGAACATTTCAGCAAATCCAAAAGTTATAAAACATTACTTTGAATAAAGGTTAATGATGACCTTGATATGATTTGCTATTACTATTACACTTCTAATAAACAGTAAAAATAAACCCTTCGAATAGACGAAATCCATCTTGGTTGTGTTTTATTCGAAATGTATATTTTAACACTTGTCAATCCCTGTTACTTATATTTTCTTTCTTACTTCTTTACAATATTCTTATTTTTTTATACAACAAACCTCTTTTCTTGTTGTCAGGTTAAGTATTTTTGTAACGTAAATAGATAAAACCTCGTACCGGTCGAACTCTGAAATTGTCAGAATACAAGAAGGGGGAGCAACATTCTTTTAAAAAAATATAAATAAATAAACTTGAAGAAATGCCTCTACATGAAAGCGTAAGTAATACGATCATGTTTAAAGGTAAAAGTAAGAGAGATAGATAAAGACAGAAAAGAAACATATTAACTATGCTTCTACTGTAAAACATAAATTTTATAGATACAACTTCATGAAATGAAATCATCAAACAGAACTACCTAGATGGAGTCTTGTAACCCATATGAACTGATACAATACCATTTGAATAATTAATCCAATTAACACCATCAAATTTTGATTGTGTAATGATATGAGCAAATTCTTCTTGATTAGGAAATTGACGAATACTTTCAACTAAATATTTATAAGAATTCCAATCACCTGCAATAAGTTGACCAATTACAGGTATTAACTGCATAGAATATGCATTATATAAGCTGGAAGTAAAACAAGCATTTTGAAAAGTGATGGTAATTGAGAAATTATGATCTTTTAAAGCTTATTTTTAAAATATAGCTAATTTGCATATTTAACAGAAGCGTATATAAATAAACAAAAGACGGCTTGACAACTGTCCATATAAACTATATGGAAGAGAACAACCTTAATCCTATTCATATTGATATAATCAACAAGTATTTATTTATTTAAACTCATAAACATTGGTAGAAGGAGGCACCAAATAGATATGCGCCATATAAATCATTCGATTTGTGTGAGGGCTAGGATACTGTCCACGTGCCCAAGCTGAAGCAGGTGGACCACACCCGGGGCCGTCGACCTAAAGGTCTGATTCACAAGACAGTGGAGCAACGTAAGGAGATGCAGTATCATGGTAGCTGGTCACCAACGATTGGTCCATACGCCATTTGTTCCCGCAGGATACTGGAGCCCATGTGCACCATTGGTTTGGGATCCGGTTATAGCGCCGGATATTCGCTTTTCGTCCTCTCATTTTTGTAAACAACACCCCCGCCACGAGAAGGCAGTGAGTAGGACTTCCCTGGCAGGGGCTGTATACGCGTGGCCATGTGAGAGCATTTCGAGAGGGGGGGCGGACTCACCCCACTCTCGGCCGTACCAGGGCATTTGGGGGCTGGGTGAAGAATCGTCATATATCTATGATTTTTTTGGCAAAGCGACTTCAAATTCAGATACCTACTGAGTTACACAAAATCCACTATAAAATCTGCAATAAATAATGATGCCTTGTTTACAGACTATAATAGTTAGTGTTCTCGATGTCGTAATTATGATGTACATCAGTGCAACCGAACGTAGTTTGAATAGGAACCATTAAAATCAACCCAACAAAAGCAAGAAATATCATTTATTTGTGAAGAAGTGACTAACTGAAAGGATTCAGAACTGAGTGCAATTTTCAATCGATCATCCTCCAGATTTTGTAAATTGTATTATCAACCAAATAGTATTTGCAGAGAACTGTCCAGGCAGACATTGAGGTAACAGCCAACGTTAGGTACGTTGAAAAATATTTTGGGACTTACTAGTCGTACATCAAATAAAGGAGATTGTTCTATGAAATTTTATGAAGACCACATTACGATTTGAACTAATAAAAATTTAGTCACTACTAATGTTTCATCCTATTTAACAACTGAAACCTGAATTCAAGCAAATCATAGCGAAGTCGTCAATAAGTACCGACGCAAACAGCAAGTGTATTAGTAACTCTAACCCTCAGTAGCAAGCATGGTCATTGTTCTTGAGTCGATATTAATAAGAACAATCCTGGTAGAGAACCAGGGTACAATCGAAACTAATCATTAGTTAACCAGATGGCATATACGGTCGTTTATTGCAATAACAAGACGTAAAGTGAACGATAAATTCACTCGTTTTCGGTGAATACTATGATGGTAAAAGATAGGATTTGTCAGACCCAGAGACTTGTTTAGTCCTTTAGAGCAGATGTTTTTAAATGACCATCGTCGTCTAATGCATGACCTGAAGCTTGGAAAAATGAGTGTAGATTTTGAAACAGTGTAGAAAGGTGTTCAATATGGTATGGCCATTTAGGGTTGCTTCACTGACATTAAAATGTGATATAAGTCGCACAGAAACCATGAAGCTATTCGCCAAGGAAAAGTTGAGGGACAATACGTTAACGAGAATATTAGTTGTGAACAAAGAATGCGTTCCCTATGAAAATAACTAACTTTCTGAATAAGTTATTTTCAACTTCGCTAAATTCCAAACAGTAAAATCGACCCCACGGACGTAGTACTCGATAGGCTTCTGAAACAACCTAAAAAAGTTCTGAAACGAATATAAATAATCCTACCTTTTCAATATGTGTGCAATTGCGTATTCCAAAAGCAATAGTATACACGTCAAACGAATTATCATTAAACGGGAGGTTTTCAGCATTTCCTTCTATCCACTGAACTTGCAAAAGAATGATGACATAAATGTCAGAATAATGAGCATACTGGAAGAAAACCCCAATTCTTCCGCCCGTGATTTCCCTACTTCCATCATGGATGGACTAATATCGCAAACTGTGACGTCGAGACTAGTGAAGGGTTTCATATTCAGAACTTCCGGCACTCCATTAATATGTTTAGCATACTTAAATAACCTAAAGGCAATATCACCTATAAAGATTAATGTCATATATAGGCATAAGTAAATAAAACTAACCTGTTCCACCTGCAACATCTAAGTACTTTAGTTTATCTGTTGGCATAATTCGGCTTACAAAACAATCTTTCCATAAACGGTGAACGCCAAAACTCATTATATCATTCATCAAATCATATTTCTTGGCTACGTTCTCAAACACATGATTTACTATTCAAGAATGAAGAAACATGGTAAAAGTTATAGGTTTATTAAAACTCACCTTTCGATTGTTTATCCTTGGTTGCTACTGTTTCAAACCCAAAGTGTGTGGTTGACAGAAAGCTCTTCTGTGCACTCAGCAATCGAAACTTACAAAAAGCATTTTGGATGTAGCATGAAAGAACGCTCATTTTCTGAAATACACTGCAATAAATAGTGCAGAAGAGTTGTGCATAAATTAAGACAGGTCTGACAGATCTATTACGACACAGGATGATGTAGAACAGCTTAGTAGTTTATGTTCCCATTCGACTTGACAGTCTATGGGCGCAATTCAGAGGCCAATCTGCTAACTAGTATTACAATCATTTTGAATTATCAAGAGTATTACTAATCAATCATTTCCGAATTCTCATTTTATGATGAGCAGTATTTCAGATGAAACACAATCACTGATAACTACCAACGGGACTAAACTAATGACCCAGACCACCAGCAATATTGCTTAAGTCACAAAAAAACACAAACGGTCAGTATAGTAAGTACTTACTTCAGTCTGTTACTCTTCTTGGGACACGAGGCGCCGATTAGGAACCATCAGCTGGGCTCTCCCTGATAGTTATGGCCAAGTTCTATTCATTCTTTTGATGTCACCCTTAACGTCCGAGTCTAGGCATGTGAGCAGTGCGTTAGCGTCCAAGTAAGTCACGTGTCCGATTAAGTGCTTAAGATTTGATAGCCTGTATGCTGTACTGCAGAATATATCGTCTGCTGTTTCAGACTTGATTGCCAACATTAGGCCGCTAATGTTGAAGTCTGGTGGAAGTGAATATCTGTGGCAGTTCGATATCGGACTACAAAGTTTGCAGATCCCTTTGTCATCTAAAGAGGGACTGAGTACATTGGACGCACGTCTCTAGAAAGCAGACATAAGGGTCAAATTTGTAAGTCAACAAAATTCATTGGATTATGTGTTCATATTGCAGATGAACATGCTGACGCGATTAATGGATGATAATCCTAAAACGTCAATGCGCTATATTTTGTCATATGTCAGGACACCTGAAGTTGCCGGTCATTTTAATCTACATGAAGCTTTATTTAAAAGAGCCCTTCACAAGTGCAGGTTTTATGAGAGCATACGAAGAACTTTTTTTAAAACCACTCAGACTCATTAACAACTTGGTTCCTGTTAACGAAAAACAACTTGCTTAAGTTTACGACATCGCGACGCAAGGGTATTTTCAAGATGAGACAAAATACAAAAGCGTCATCGAAGAAAACAAGAACATGTATGCACTCATTTTAAGTTATAACTATTTTTTGTTGTTCTATAGGTACAGTGTTCAGTGTTAACGAAAATTAACGTAAGTAATACTTCACGTAGACTGTTGTTTAACACACAATGGCAGCTAGATATCGTTGTAACTTTTTGTGTTTATTAAATTTTATAATTCACAGGAAGATTACTTTGGTTCGCAGTAGTCAAACTGCAATTCATGAAAAGTGTCACTATTGAAGCGTTTTTATGTTTAACTTAATTTTTATAGGGATTTTTCTCAACATGTACTGAGTTTCCGACTTAAATGTGTGTTATGAAGCCTGTTTAATTTTAAATTCATTTATAATTAAGTACACGTGTCTGATTATTAACCAATAATATGTCCTTTTTTTTAAAGTCCTCGCAAATTACAATAAGACTTGGCACTTACAATGAAAATACATAGCGATCGTTGTTCAAGCATCTGTCCGCTATTCATTATTTTGCACAATATTACTTTTTTTCTTCTCAATAAGTTTCTTTGGATATATATCATTTTAACGTCGATTGCAGTAGGTCGTTTGGCGTGTACCCAATCTATCAATTTTGGGGAAAATGTCACCTAAACCCCAAAATTCCCCCAAACTTGGGAGATTAAGTGTTTAGGCAAAAAGTAGACAATTTAGGGTCATTTGAAACACATGGCGATAAAAAGAAGAAAATCCGTATTACATCTCCCCGACAGATAAAGAGAAGACATTTTAGAGCGTTCGTTCATTATTTCCCCTTTCTTTTTCAACGTATTCCCCTTTATTGATTTTATATCCTAACGATATATGGTACACAACAGAAATTCAGGAGGACAAAAATAATTCCCTTGGAACACTTGGTAATTCATAATGCACAGATTTTAGGAAACTAAAACAGAATCCCTAGGAAAACTCATGGAACTCATATAATTACAACCAGTGTAACGGCTAGACCATCATTTAGCGCTCACCTTTCAATGCTTAAGGTTTAACGGTCACTGTATTAAGCTTGTATAAACCAGATGATTTCTAAATTCTCACACCTTATTGTCACGGTGAAATCTCAGATACTTGGCGTATTCCAATGGAGGTGGCCTATCCACTTTGTTGATACGTCACCTCTCGCTCAGCTACACAAATCCTCGGACTCTTCGACTACCTCCAACAGATCGCAAGCAGCGGTTCAAGAACGAGCTCCTGGAAGCCTTGAAGAAGTGCTTTTTTCCAATTCGAAGGACCAGTGTATATGTAATAATGATGTACACTGACTGTCAACCCATTATGTTTCGATAAATGTCAGTGATTTCGTGCTTGTTGTTAATTAACCCTACTTTTGTGTATTTATGGCATCAGAAGCATATTTTGTCAACTTTAATTTAAACTATTTCGGTTAACGTCAGGAAATTTTCCTTAATTCTGTTTTATGAAACTTTTTTGGCTGATCCACGTGCAAGTGATTATCTTGTGCACTTTCGTCGATATTTTTTTCGTTTTAAATCTGTTTACAACTGTGAGCTGTACCTATAAATGTGAACAACCAAATATATTTTTCCTTGTGTAGGAAAAAATGCATTGTGATAAATGTAAGAAGTAGTTCCACAAGTTATAACCTGACTAAATCCCACAACATACGAAAGATACTCGAAGCCTAACTTCCACTAACTCCTTAAGTTTTGCTATCCGGGTAAGACATTGCCGATCCAAGAGGTGGCGGGCCTTCTGGAGTTTAGCAGTAGGAAGTTGACGGTGATTGCAGTGGTAGCATGAGTACTGTTAGTGAACAATATTTCAGTGTATTAAGGCCGTAACGGGACGAGCCAAACGTTTTATTGCTAAATAAAGAAAAGATCTTTAATACAAACGAGGAGTGAAATATCATTGGATATTAGTCGTCATGATTCCAATGTAGTGAAGACCCGGACGAAACTGTAACTGTTCCAACTAATCTCGATTTGGCTGTTCCGTGTGACATGGAGTGGATAGGTGTGCAGAAAAAAAAGAAGAGAAAAATATTCACAAACAGTATCCATTTGACTAAAAAGTCCTTGGCAGATTTCCATTGTGAGTCATATAACACTCCGTCAAAGTCCAAAAGTAAGACTGAATTCTAAATTTACGTAGCTGAAAAAGTTTGATCCCATAGAACATTGGTCGAGTGATTTACAAGAATCTATCGACTGTGACCCAAAAATTAGATACACGTATGATTTTAAAAAATTCGAAGCACATATTTGCAGTATCTTTCCAGGTAACTTTACAAATGTTCAGAATAAAAACCTGTCTAGAATAGATAAGAGGGCTGAAGAAAATGTTGGTCCCCGATCAAACAGACTTTTTTAAATGACCCTAGAAGAGGAATATTGTGCTAGTTCGAGCTCGAAGACAAAACGACACTGGTAAATAAATGACATGTTCATGGAAAATAAGAGGGACGGCGGAACTAACTGAAGTAGAAACCCGTCTAATTTGGTGAAGAAAACCTCTGCTCAGTGAGTTTAGAGGGACATCAAACTAGCTAGTGAATTTGCCTGGAGAGTTTAACAAGGTGGAAGGGGTGAGGACAGTGTCTGAGTAAAGTTTTACGGGACAAGCGAGTTTATATTTCACATGTGACCTAAGATAACTGGCTCTAGATGCTTCAACAGACGTGCCATCACCGGCCGTTTCTCAAAATAATCTCGTACAGGCTGACTGTGAAGTGCACGGGTATTTATAGATTAGCGTAGACTGTCAAGCTCGTAGCTGGAGTTATAGATATTTGCATTAGTGTGAGCCTGAGAAGTACCAGATGTATGTAATTGGAAGCAGTTGTGGTCGTTTTTGTACATGGAAGCCATGTTCACGTAGTAGTTAATTTGCTTGGATCAAACGACCATGGTCTAAGAAATAAACAGTCGCATGATTTGGGAAAGGCCGGATCACTTATTCGTAGCACTTTGCCAGATAGCTCTGCAAACGTTCGGGTCGAAAAATTGATTAGAATAGGTAAGAGAACAGACGGAAATGTTTAACAACGACAGTATAGACTCCATAATGTAATCCTAGGGATGAAGAAACAATCTCTCGTAGTCACGACAATACCGACATTTGGTTGAGACCCGATATAGCTGTAGAAGAGAGAATTAAATGGAGAGCTACACTAGATGGACTAGAAACTCATTGACAGAATGGTGGAGAAAATCTACGTCTATTGAGTTCCCGAGTAGTCACGTCTTGGAAGCGAATTTTATCAAGGCCCGTACGGATAGGTCCTTCTGTTCAGGAGTTTAATATACAAATGCTCATAGCCTTAGAAATAAATTCTATGCACTTGGAGCATTAGTGGATGAATTAGAGCTACTCACCGTAGCTGGGACCGAGACGTCGTTAGTCCATGACATCGACGTCACTCTAGAATTATCCGAACGCAACTACCTAAGAAGTGATAGGAATAGACCCAGGAAAGTGGGTGGTTTCTTAATATATTTATAACTATCCGTTCTTTTGATTGTGAATCCTATGATAGTAGGAGTTGTGGAGTAATTAGCCGTGATCTCACTCTTGAGCGTTGAACATCTATACTCAATGTCATCTATCATAGATTAATATATATAGCTGATGACCTTATTTTAGAGAACATTCATCTATGGAGTGAAAATAACAGTTATCTGACATTAGATTTCAATGCACCTGACATTACTTGGACAGGAATAGCCACTGTAGGATCTTAAAATTGTTTTGGTACTAGACTCCTGATGACAACAAGAGAGTGTGTTCTAGTGCAGCAACCCATACTTATTGGTATAAACCAAGGATTTTCTTTGTTAGATCTAGTGATATTTCATAAGACCGAGGAAATCGCCAATCTAAATATCCTCCCACCACGTTTAGATTTTGTGACAAAATTTACGATCAGATTAAA